CAATGCCGTCCAAGCCGTAATGAAATTTTTGGTTAGAAATTTTGTTGTTGTGAAATAGCATCAATAATTTGCCAACATTACACTTAAATACCAACTACCGATAACCATGTTTAACGCTATAAAAATTCCAGAAGAGTATCTAACAGGGGCGGATCCAGGGGGGGGGGGGGTCGACCCCCCCTGCTCAGCAACATAAAAAAAATTTTATGAGAAAAATTTCTCGGCCGTGTGCTTTATCCTTTATCGTCAGATGTGGGACAGGATGGGCACTCAAAGCACGAGATAATGATATAGACAGGATGTGATATCACAATTAATGCTTTGCATCCATGAAATTGAATCACAATGTCATTGTATTAATATGTTAACATATTATATCAAAAAGAACTATATTAGTATTAAAAATTCATTATTTTTATTCGATCGAATGATCGTACCAATATTAGAATATGCTTCTGCGATTTGGGGTTTTAGAAAATATGAATCGATAGAAAAGGTGCAGTTAAGGTTTCTGAAATCTATATTACACGTTAGTTCTAACACATGTAATTGTGCAGTATATGGTGAAACTGGTCGAGTACCACTCTATGTAAATACTATATATAATTGTCTTAAGTATTGGTTAAAATTACTATATTTACCAAATTCCAGATATCCTAAAGCTTGTTATGACTTATTGTACAATTTAGATTTAGCTGGAAGGTCAACTTGGGCCAGTAATATTAAGCATATTTTATATGAATATGGATTTGGTTACGTTTGGCAAGAGCAGGATGTTTTTGATGTAAATGGGTTTTTATCATCATTTAAGCAAAGGCTAATTGATTGCTCACGTCAACAATTATCATGTGATATTAAAGAGACGTCCAGACTACAAAATTATAGCTTGATTAAACACAATGTTAACTATGAACCTTATTTATCCAAGGTATCTGTGACTAAATTTCGACAATCCTTAACTCGTTTCCGATGTTCAAACCATGATTTGGCTGTAGAGACAGGACGCTGGAAGAATGTACCAAAAATTGAAAGAGTCTGTAAATACTGTGATGAAATGCATGATTTAAAACAAACAGAGGATGAAATACATGTTATTGTTTATTGTAAATTGTATGATAATCTAAGAACCAAATTACTTCCAGAAATAGAGAACGAGAGACAACATAAAACAAATAGGGATATTTTTATTAGGGTCATGTCTGACGAAAATAATTATCGAAATTTAGCTATGTTTATTTATCAGTCATATGTTATCCGAAAACAAATTGATAATTGTAAATAGTTATGCTTATTTTGATTTATTATTATATTATATCAACAAATTATGTATACATATTGTCTTTATTACCATTATTATTTATTACTGTTATTTATCTCACATTTACTCACCGCACTTCTTATATGTTGTAAAAATTTATGTACTATGGGCTGGAGGCCTTAAATACTGTGAATAAATAAATAAAAAAAAAAAAAAGTATTAATTCATAATAAAATTTCTCTGTTTAAAATGTGTAAGTATATACGCCAAAATGTCTATACATTGTCTCAGGAACCTGGCAAACCCTCTCCTGCAAAAATTCCTGGATCCGCCCCTGTCTAATCAAAATACATAAATTCCAAATAACTTTTGCTGCTGGATTTAAAAAAATGCGAGCATAAGTATACCCCTTACTATCGAACATCGTTATAATTCGTATATTTCTCGTCATCTCACTAATCTAAATAATAACCCACAAACCACGGACTTCCGCGCAATTCTAATTTAGGCGTTGGTCGAATAATTGTCAGATTTGTAATCATTAAACCAATGCGGCAGAGCTTCGATAACTTATTAGTGCCAGCTCATACCCCTCCAAAGGGGAAATACTACACAGTTTCAAAAGGACTATAAGTGTAATACCGAAGTTAGTTATTTAAATTTGATGAGATAACGGGTGAACTTAAACTTAACTTAACTTAACGGGTAAAATATGGGCCGATGGACTGGATACCAAAATGCATTATGTAAGAGCTAAATCTGCCTATAATTGCAGGTCTTTTTTCTAGCTTCAAATGTTATATAGATTATCATTGAGACATTTATTAAGATAATAATCTCATAATCAACTCATCGAGTTTAAGTAGATTAGAAAACCGCGGACATATAAGGGATGTTCGAACGTCAGTCCGAGACTTCCCGAATTGTCAGAATTGTAATCGAGTGGCGTGGACTTCAGTCCCGTCACAGTTCTGTCAGTCCCGGCAGCGGAGGTGGTGTGGGTAGAATCATGACGTAACTAACATAACGAATATGTTTCAGCTGTCATGGTTGGTTGAGTTTAACTTCGTCGCGACTGTCAAGTACCGTTGCTTCGATAATAAGCAATCTACGCTACATTTTGTCAAAACTTCAAACACTCATAACATTGTACAGAATAAAGTAGTTTGAAGTTTGTAAAATATATTCTTGTTTCATTATCTATTCTTGAACTATTATAAAAAGAACGACCAGCTCTTTATCTGAATATTACATAATGCATCTTTAATATATTTAAATGAATATTCACAATGACAACCCACAAAGTCGCGTTGTTACTAATATTTAATGTTGATTACGTTCCTTATCCAGGAAACAACACAAAGTCCCGTATTTCGACAGAATACATAACTTTACACGTCTCTTGAAAAGATTTAAATCGGAATACCCCATGCGTAAAACCAACACTCAATCGTTAGGTATAACCATATATCCTCCAGATATCAATGTCCGTCGTTTTGAAGAATACAAAACCTTAGAGGAATACATAATCAGCTAATATGTTCCTTTAAGGATTATTTCTGTTTTACACGAGGGGTTGCTATGGCCGAGCGCTGTGCTGGCCTCATAATTAGAATGACCAAGGTTCGAATCATGGCAAAGGTCGTGAGAGAGAGAGAGAGAAATGGGGGTTTAACGTCCAATCGACACAAACTAGATCATTTCGGGACTAACACATGGTTCAATTTTATTTCAATAATTCGCTTGCGCGTAGGGGTCTTTAGCAGTGGGAGGAAACCGGAGGACCCGGAGAAATCCCATGAGGTTGGCCAGGCGACCCTACTCTTTGTCACGTACAACCGGGGATTCGAAACCACGCCAGTTGACTCAATGACAGGTCGTATGATACAGCACGCACGTGCTAACCATTCGGCCATCCACCCCCCACCCCCCCAAAGGTCGTGAATAATCATCAGACCATGTAAGTCTGGTTTTTATTTTTCAGAGTTCTGCCTAGAGTGCTGACAAGAAATGTGTGCCTAGTCGATAGTATGGGATGAAAAAACAAGGCCCATCCATGTACACTAAGGCATACACGTAAAGTACCCCTTGTCAGTTGGAATTTGAAGACAAGTATTTAGAAACACTACTACCGGATCAAATTCCTATTCTACACCCTTTAGGTAGCCATTGAAATGAATATGACCACAGTATTGTGTTGACAAGAGGTTAACACCCACATGGTTCAATTTTATTTTTATAATTCGCTTTCGTGTAGGGGTCTTTAGCGCAGGTAGGAAACGGGAGGTTCCAAGAGAAAACCCACGAGGTTGGACAGGTGACCCTACTCCTGGTCACTACAAGTGGGAAATCAAAACCTGACCACTTGACTCAATGCCAAACCTTATGATTTCACACCCACGCATTAAACCACTAGACCACCCAGAAATGACATGAATTTTGCTTTAACTTCCTAATTTTCTCTTTGACCTAGGCAAATGAAGACAGGCAGATGCCAGGCAGTGTGCTATGAGGTGAATTTTGCCTGGGCAATGGCACAACAGCCTACTCTTATTTCAAAGTCAAACTGTCAAGGGTTCTTTTATGTGCACATCAACGTGTATACAGGTCCTCGGTTTTTATTACTGCCCAAACGACTATATACAGTTCCTTGCCATTCTCTCCATTTTGCTTCAGTGACATGAGGCAACCTCGCCAGAAAACCCTGAGTAACTTTCTCTACCCCGATTCAAATAAGAGTGAGAGAGAAAAATGGGGTTTAACGTCCACTAGTTTATTTCGAGACTAACATATGGTTCAATTATATTTTTAATAATTCGCTTCCGTGTAGGGGTCCAACCGGGGAATCGAAACCACGCCAGTTGACTCAATGACAGACCCTTATGATACAGCACGCATGCGCTAACCATTAGCCCCCACCCCCACCCGATTCAAATAATAAGTTCAAATAACAGACAAATATCTAATAAAATAAATGTGTTTTTTTATTGCTAAGTGTTAAATAATAACTGATAGTTATCACATAATATACTATTTGGCATAATGTGTTCAATTAGAGATTATCTTTGGCACAAATACTTATCTAGGAACTAGGAGTACATAGTTTGAAACTATGGGTTAATAAATTATGTGAAATATTGTAGTATCAAAATATAAATCAACAAGAAAATTCTACGGGTAATTAAAGTGCGAATATATAGAAATAGAATAGATAAAGGATTTTCATATGACGTCATGTTTCAATTGGATTTCGTTTGATTTCGGAACATTGTTCGATGTTATCTTTGAAGAGAAGTTAAGTTAAGCAAATACAGAATCTTGTAAGACTTTTATATAATAGGTTTGATTTTTTGGATTTGACAGTTACCAAATACCGAATCTCACAAAGAGTCCTTTTTTTTTTTGATAATTCTGATTTCAAAATGAATGGAAAGATTAACAAACGAATAATATTTTGAAATGATATCTTCGCATGTAGAACTATTAATGGGTAATATTATGTTATCAACAAATAGAAATTTTCAGGGATGTTTTAATAAGCATCATATCTTTAATGATATTTTAATTAGTCAAATTCTTAGTGCATAACTCTTATCAAATTTACAGTCAAGTTAGATAACTCTTATCAAATGTATAGTCAAGTTAGATAATTCTTATAAATTTTCAGATTGAGTTGTATATATATATATATATATATATATATATATATATATATATATATATATATATATATATATATATTTGAACAAATCCATTGTTTTGAAACAGACATACTATATATATCCTTTATATTTACATGCATATAATATTGCATACACACACTGGATATAACATGACAGATCATGTGTAAGTGAACAATTTGTGATCAATTTCAAAACAATTCAAATCCACCATCTACTTTATATTTCGTCTCAAAATGATTTGTAAACAATAACAAGTAACTATAGTAACGTATTATGTAACATATAATATATTTAAATCCATTGTATGGATTGTATCTGAAGATAGGAATACTTATAATAATAAACGTGAATAGATTTATTTTTGTTACAGGAATCACAAAACATTTGTTGGTACCGAGGTAAGCAGTGTCGGATTTACCTACAGGCTTGTTAGACTGATGGGCCTCAAGATCTAGGGGGCCTCCGATCAAATTGTATATGTTTGACAGTGTCATAACCCTTTCTTACGCACACTGCAATCTTAAACATCCGTCACTATCGTCAGCTTTGCTCAATTGTGTTTAAAACACTTTTATCTTTCTCTAATTGTGAGCCTGGGTGATTGGGAGGGAGGGGCCTAATCAGTGAAATAGCCCAGGGCATCTCTTTATCTAAATCCGGCACTGGAGGTAAGATGGTTTTGTAAATTAAAATAAAAACCAGTACCCGAAACAACTTATTAAAATGTTTGTATTCCTTTATGCGATAACTAGCTTGGTACCAAATCAGGATCTGTGGTTCCTATCCAAAAATATATCACGTTTCCATACATGTAGCTTTAAGCAAGGCATCTACTAAATGAGCTTCAGAACTAAGCTAATGGCGAATAAAAATGACTGGTTATATATATATATATATGTAATATATATGTATGCAAGAGCAAACGTAAAAATAATTTCAAGACAAAAAAATGCTTTCAATACCGATTAAATAACATTTCTAAAAAGGGGACTTCATATAAATAATAATAAATGAAATACTTCCATTAATAAAATAATTCAGGATTTACAAAGGATTTTTTACTATTTCACTTGTGCCTTCTTTTAAAGATAAGCTGTGTGTAAATACGACCAGAAATAAAGATTGGGTAAGATGAAAATGTAAATGCATAAATAGTGGTTGGTATCTTTAAAATAATATACACTGTCTAAAATGTGGTTTTCACAAAAAAAAAAAAAAAATGGACATGCATCATATCCGTTACATAGACTAATAAAATGTTCAAGAAACTATAATCTTGTCTGGGACTAAAATCATCAACTATTGGAAATGCCCAGTAAAAATCACAAAAAAAGTGAAAATTACCATGTCTTTTCTTATTAGATTGCTTTTTTTCCCTCATAAATAATGAGCTTAATAATAGCATAGTAGGCTTAATGCATACAAAAAATTTTGAATGTAACAATATATTGCATATTGTGCATGCACAAACATTGGACGGACAATATATGCATGTTTCTTTAAAAGAAAATGCAAGCACATGTTAACAATACTGGGAAATAAATCAACAAATTCCAAGTATGAATTAAAACTACACATATACATATCTAATTAATTAATAAAGTTTATAAACTACATATATAATCAACTATTGTGTTCCCTAGTTTATGCATATATATATAATTATTGAAGAACAATATAAGATAACAATGTATAACTGATTAGGCCAAACCAATACAATTTTTAGTTCTTCAGGATGTTGATCAATAAATAACCGACTCAATCCTTGTGCACTATGTTTTATTAAAATTTCATAACTAAAATATATGGAACTAATAGCGTTTGAACAGTGCAACCAATTACATTAGGTTTTTAAAATAGTCTTTTTCCGAAAAAAAATAAGCAAAATTATAACAGGTGTTCCTGAAAAACAGAAAATCAAATTGGTTTGGCCTTAGTGGAATGCTATCTAAATGAGTGAATATACAAATATATACACAAAGTCTAAACCATTTATTATAACAATAATACGATAATATATAATTATTGCAGGTTAAATGCATTTGGCTCTTATTAATTGTTTAATATAAATACACAGGTATAAAAGTGTTCACGGTGCATAGATTATTATTATTATTATTATTATTTTGTAACAAACTAATACTATATAACATACACATTTGACTATTTAATTGTTCACAGAGCACTTTATTACTTGGTCAGTGGAGTCATCGTTGCAGTTCAAAGGGAAACAACTCCAACACGCATTCATTTGTCTTCTTTCAGTTCCTTTTTCCAGCGGTAGAACGTTCTGATGGATACCCGAGGAAAGTGTGATGTAAACTCGTTGAAGTCCATGGTAGGATTCTGCTGGAGGTAGCAGTACTCCTCTCTTTGTCTCTTTCTAAATTTTGGAGAATAAATCTCGTCACAATTAACAGTAGAACTTAAAGATGTAACAGGACTAGATAGAGATTTGTTATTTAAATTAGTTAACGGTACACTAGAATTCGTTGGGAATATTGAGGGATTATTATTTCGTGATCTGACAACATCATTTGGGTTGTTAACAGAAGTTGGGTTCACAACATAAGGTGGGGTTGACGTCGACAGCAGGGGTGGAGTTCCCATAAAAAGTTGGGAAGAAGGACTCATTCCATAGTGTAGATGAAATTTGTTAGAATGATTTGAGTATTGGTGAAGCATCTGCTGTATTGTGTTACCCAGATCCCCATACTGTTGATCAACTGGTGATTCAATCTTGGGGTACTTTTCTTCCTTTTCATAACTTGATCCAGCAGCTCTTTTGATTCCAGGCGATTTTGATAGCTGTACCATTTCCTCATTTTCCAACTCCTCATTTTCTTTTGGATAATTATAACGACTAGAAGCTTGACTATCTAAACTCTCCTTACTGGACTCGGGAGTTAAATGGGTCTTCTGATCATCTGGATTTTGATGGTGGTTCATGGTCCACCAATGTCCTGTTTGCATAGGTGTCCTTTTTGCAGCAACAGCTGTGGCTGCCTTCTGCTTCCAAACATTATATATGTCTTCTGTAACTTCTGGGAAAAGTTTAGAGAAAGCATCAAAATTTGAATCCAAGTTAGTTTCCAGATACTCTAGTTTTTCCTTGACTTCTTTTTTCCAACGGTAGAATGTTCTCCCAGAAATGGTGTTAAAAATCTCATTCAGTTCTTGAAAGGTCATATACGGATTTTGAAGAAAGCAGTGATATTCCCTCAGATTCACTTTCCTTGATCTTGGTGTCAGTGTTTTTAAGGATTTATAGTAAGTACCATTCAGATCTGAGCCTGGAGATGGTGTGTCGTTGTTGATGTTGGTGTTATTGAAGATAGATCCATCTGTTTCAGTGGATGGTGTGGAGGTGTCTTGGTTTAAAGGTAGAACAGATAAATTGACTGGACCATTTTCATTCCCGAGTGCAACCTGCTTCCATTTATCAAAGATTTGTTCAGGCATACTGTGACAATATATTGAAAAGATGTTGAAATCTATATTTGGACTACTCATGATCAAAGAAATCCATCGATGGGCTTCACTTTTCCATTTGTAAAATTTAAACTGGTCAACAGAAGAATATAGTTTGCTGAATTTCTCAAAATCAACCTCCGGATTTTCTAGGATATATTCAAAGTCTGTTCTTTGGCCCTTTAAGCTCTTCACATCTTCACTTGGGGAACAATCTGATTTTTCAGACTCAGCACTTTTTCTGCCTTCATTGTTATAAAACATTGCTTCTTGGGGTTTCGGTATGTTGATTGTGCATCTATAATTCTCAGCATTATGCTTGGGGGAATCATGGCTTTCAGTACTATTTGGTTTTGATAAATCTTGTGGACATTCATTCTCTATCTCCTTCAATGAAGTAGCAGCAGCTTTTATAGCACTCTTCCAACGGATAAAATTCTGTTCTACAACTTCAGGAAAATATACGGAGAAATCTTGAAAGCTAACATCAGGTTGTCCTCTAACAAATTCCACGGCCTGCAGAATCTCTTTTTTCCATCTGTAGAGAGTTCTTTTGGATACTCCTGGAAAGGAATTAATGACTTCTTGAAGGTCAATAAAAGGGTTCTCCTGGAGACACAGATACTCTGGTCGGGCTTGTTTCTTCTGTCTATTATGGCTGTAAGTCCTACCATCAGAAATCACATCTTCTAATTCTTCTTCTTCACTTGAGGGGATCTTCAATTTGAAGTCCTCATCTGTGTCTGAAGGTTGACTTGAAGGACTTTCATCACTAATCAAGTTACATGTTGGATCCACTTCCAGATACAATTTCCATTTTTTGAATAAATTTTCTGAAAAATCGGGGAAAAAAGTGCGAAATTTGCTGTATGGTATCTCTTGATCAGCTTTAATCATCTTGAAACCATCTTTCAATTCTTTCTTCCATCTGTAGAAGGTTTTTGAAGAAATGTCTGGATAAATAAGTTCATACTGACTATAGGACATTCTGGGATTCATTTGCAAATATTCATACTTCTTTTTATACTCATTCCCCTCCTCTTTTTGGACTTTACTGTTCAGGAAGTCTAGTGGTTTGTATTGAGGTATTCGTATTACATTGTTACTGGTGTCATTTTCTAATACTGCTTTCAATATGCCATTTGGTTCTTTAACAGAATGGTGGTTATAAAACTGTTTGTAGTCAGCAACATGTGGTCGCCATACCTGATGCTTGATAGGAGCAGGTGATGAACTTGTAGTGTGGTTCTTCTTTTCTTTCCACTGTTTAAAGATATCTTGAGGAACATTTGGAAAATAATTTGAGATATCATCATAGGTGTAATGTGGATTTTCATTCAACAGAGCTTGAGCATCTTTTACTTCTTTCTTCCATCTGTAGAAGGTTCGGTTGGAGATGTGAGGGAAATGCAGGTTAAAATCTGGATAACTGACATCAGGGTGATAAATGAAATAAAGATATTCGTTCTTGTTTTGTTTCTTCGTGATGCTTTCATTTGGAGGTAAAGGTGATACAGTATCTGGTGAGCTTGAACAAGAGGATGACTTATCAGAGTCTTTCATATTGTTACATAATACTTGAGTCAGGGACTGGAGCTTGGATAAAGATGATTGTTGGTGTTGGGATTGATTGAGAAGTAGATGCTGTTGTGCCTGATTAATAAACATAGATTGAGTCTGAGCTTGTACTGCAGCTAACGACTGTTGCTGCCACTGACTGGATAGAAGAGGATGCTGAGCTTGAGAAACAGCTGCTTGCATTAGAGCCGGGAATAGGGGTGCTGCTGAATTTGGAGTTGCCATTGCCTGATTCATGAGAGCATTATAGGCAGCCATCCCAGCCGATCCCATCATCAAATGGGGATATTGCTGCATCATGGCATTCTGCATGGTCATGAGATTACTTTGCTGGTCTGTTTTTTCCTCCTTGACAGTCTTCTCCATTCTCTGAGCATTTAACATCTGAGCATATTTCCTCCATGCAAGAAAAGCTTCTTCGGATACAAAACTGAAGTGTTTTGTCAAGTCTTTGAACTCCATATTGTGATTTTTTTCCACAAATGATATGGCGGATAGCACTTGTTGTTTGTAGGATGAGAATAGCTCTAAGGGAACAGTAGGATGAGTATAGGAGAATTCTTGGTATGACATATGAGGATACATCTGTAGAAGGCTCAAAGAAGGGTTATTGGATATTGAGGAGAGATCTAACTTCTTAGCAGCGGGATGATTAGGAGATGTGTCCAAAGAACTAACATGCATCGTTGAAAATCTATGACCACCACCGATTAAGTTTTTCCAGGTGTCAAACACTTCTTGTTTAGCATGAGGTATACATTTACAGAAATCGTCATAACTCATGTCTGGGTTTTGCTCTAGAAAGATAAATTCATCCTTTATTTTCCTCTTCCATCTGTAGAAGGTCCGTTGTTGTATATTCGGATAGTGAGAAGTCAATTCATAGAAATCACAGAATGGATTTTTTTCTAAATGTTCATACTCAACCTTATAGACTATTTCTCTTCTTGTGTTTCCATTCAAATATGATGGTGAAAAGTTGTGATTGTTTTCTCTGTCAAGTGGATCCATTTCTGAAGACTTTCTCTTTCTATTATGAGTTTTTGATACATTTTCATGCTTCTGAAAAAGATGAAATATAATATTAAAGGAATGACCAGAAATCAACTAGAACAATCTTTATTAGGTGTGGCTTAGTGTAGCACTTTGACTGATGAAGACCTTGGGTTAGTTATAATATTAATACCTTGTTTTAAGTTAACACAAAACGATACCATGCTAAGGACTGTAACATTTGAGGAGTGATGGAATTTTCACGTCGAAATCATTCAGTTAGCTTGATTTTTTGATTTATATAACTGACCTTAAGCCACCCCATTGTAAATTTCAAGTGTTTGTTTTTTCTTTTCTTCAATTTATGTGTATGTATACAATTATTATAGCTACTGAGAAATAGAAATTTGTATACCGATGCAAAACAAAACCCCCAACAAACTTTCAAGTGCTAGCTAAGTAAAATATCCAAAGGTGATGCACACAGTTTGTCAATCAGTTTGGAAGACCCTGACCTGGACTTGATTTCTACTACTCCAATGCAGTGCAAGAAAAAAAGGGACAAAACCCAACAAAGGATATTAATAATAGACTGGGATGCGATTCAAGATTCAATCATTAGCTCTTATTTTTAAAATTGCTCTTACACTGTGATACCAAATCTTGGTATGTTAAATATTCCTTTCTTGAATTCAATATTTCAGGGGGGGTTGGATGGCCGAATGGTTAGCACGCTCGTGCTGTATCATACGGTCTGTCATTGAGTCAACTGGCAGGGTTTCGATTCTCTGGTTGTACGTGACAAGGAGTAGGGCTGCCTGTCCAACCTCGTGGGTTTTCTCTGGGTCCTCCGGTTTCCTCCCACAGCTTAAGACCCCTACACGCATGCGAATTATGGAAATAAAATTGAACCATATGTTAGTCCCGAAATGACCTAGTTTGTGTCAAGTGGACATTAAACCCCATTTCTCTCTCTCTCTCTCTCTCTCTCTCTCTCTCTCTCAATATTTCAGTGTATGTTACCTGAGTATCCCAGCTATCTGGTTGTTCTGTTTTTACTATAGAAAGATCCAATCCTATAGAATTAGCCTTCAAAGCAACTGTATCTGTATTGTACTTTAAACCTCCTGTAGCATGACTGTAATAAAAACATTATTATTATATAAATAGTATAAAACCACATAATAACAACATGTACATGTTTTCCCCTATGGAAAAAAGGGTCTATTAATAAAACGTGATGCAACCTGTAACATCTTCCTTTAGTCCACCAACCGGCAGGGGTACATATATTATTCCATTTGGGCCAATAAATATTGAGGAAAAGAAAAGGTACAGAGTGAGGAAGAAAGGGTACATGATATAACAAAAAACATTCTCATTAACTCTTTGAAAAAACCTTTCTTCATCCTCCAACTACGACAATGGATGTTATTTACCTCATTTGGATTGGTGGTGGTGGTGGAGGGGGGAATATTGTCATCACTTTACTAAACAAATAAATTATTTCAACTATGAATTAGGAAAGCATATTTTTCTACTTTGATGAGGAAGCATATTTTCTGTCTTAGTGGTGAGGTGAGGAAGAAAAATGTGGGTCACAGGGGTAGGGGTTGTGAGGAAGAACAGAAAGCATATTAAGGAATAAGGAAAAAAAGTTACATTGTGGAATAATATACACCTCTGCCAACCGGGTAACTAATGAAGCTGAACATACGCATATGAGGGAAATTTTGCCCTAACAAAGGCGCTGCAGTCTACTCTTCTTATGTCAATTTCCAACTGTCTGGGGATCTTTAATGTCCGGCCAAAGCTAGGCTATACACTAGACCTTGTTTTTTTGTACCATCTAAATGATAAGATGCCTTTATTGGCCAGGCTCTCCGTCCTGCACCACTGATAAAGTTATGTTCAACCAGACAGGAAAGTCATGAGGAACTAACTAGGCCAACATTGGGATTGATGCTTGATTCTCATACATCATTGAACCAGCGACATACTCAGCTAGCCAGTGTTACATGCATGTAAGTCATGTGTGCGGTGGTGGGGGCAAATGGTTAACGTGCAGGCATTGGATCAGAAGGTCTGTCACTGAGTCAAGTCAAGTTGTTTTGATTTCCTGCTTGTACGTGACAAGGAGTAGGGTCGCCTGTCCAACCTTGTGGTTTTCTTCAGTTCCCTACCATTGTTAAACACCCCTACACGCAAGTGAATTATTGAAATAAAGTTGAACCATATGTTAAGTTCCAAAATGACCTAGATTGTGTTGAGTGGACGTTAAACCACATTTCTCTCTCTTATGTGTTTGTTAAAATAGGATCCTGATTAGTGATTGGGTGCATATATATTTTTTACAAAAGGAGAACTCTTAAAATGGTTAAAATAAGAACTTTAGATGAATAGTCATGTACTTGTATTTCTGTTTGTATTGTTACATCATTTTCAAATGTTTTCTTTGATAACTGTCATACTTAATACATCTTTATGAAAAATATTTATAATGATCTGACCTTGTGCTACTTGGTTCTCGTTCAGTTGAAGTTTCTTCCTTGTGGCTTTCATCCGTGACCATATTCTGATTCTCTTCAATTCTTCTGTTTTGATAAGTACTGAAATTTTCAAGTACAACAGTTTCTGATGTTTCTTTCAGTACTTGTACTTCCCTTGGTGAAATACTTGAGGGAGATAACTCTGTTTCATCCGGTAGATCTATACTGCCTCGAAATGCTTCAGTATTCTGGGTATTGGTACATGCCCTACTGTCGTCTCTATATGAGCTGGTGTCTTTTGATTGATAAATATTGCTGGGTTCTGGCAGGAATTCCAAACAACTTTGAGTTGACTTCAGATTATCACAGACCAGTTGTTGATTATTGCTACATTTGGTTTCCATCGACTCCATAGTGGTTTTTAAAGACACTGGTTTTGGGGAACTGAAAGGAATCGCAGGAACGACTAACAGACTTGAAGAACTTTGTTCCAAGCAATCTGTTTTGTTATTATTATCAACATCATATTCCTCATTACCCACAGATATGAAAGAAGAGTCTTTATCCTCCGATTGACTTGATTTGTTTAAATTGTCTGTGGTTTCTTCCGATTTTTCAATAATTATCAGCCGTTGGGAAAGGGTTTTATCTTCTGTGGTTTTGTTCTGTATATCATGAAGAATATTATTTGTGTAATTATTAATGTCACTATTGCTAGATAACTGTTCTGTATCCGATAAATCACTCTCCGAGTCTTTTTCTGCATTCGGATCACTGTCTTCCTCCATCTCGCCACCGCAATCATCGGATAAATCATCTTTGTTAAGGATTTCATCACAGTTTTTCATAAACTCAATATTGTTATTGATAGCAATGTCATTGCTTTGTATATTATCAAAATTATGCACTGTTTTAGTCGAGTTGTTATTATTTTTAGCTAATTGCAACATAAATGGTTTATGCACCATTTCTTTGATACTAAAGTTTTCTTTTTTTCCATTATCAACTTCTAAACAAATGAGTCCCATGACTTGAACACAGTCTCCGAAACTATAATGACGATGACACAACTTGTGAATACAGCGTACTAGTGCAGGAAAAAACAGGCTTGGATTTTTGGTCTCCATACTATCTTCATCTTCATTATCTTCAGTTAACCTAAAGAAAAATATAAAGTATAAACTTATTACTTCTTCAATAAAAAGAGAGAGAGAGAGGTGCACTTGACACAAACTAGGTCATTTCGGGACTAACATATGGTTTACTTTTATTTCAGTAATTCGCTGGAACGTAGGGGTCTTTAGCAGTGGGAAGAAATCGGAGGACCCGGAGAAAACCCATGAGGTTGGACAGGCGACCCTACTCCTTGTCTCTTCAATAAAGAAATATCCCAATCAAAATGCTCTACTTCAAACTTAAAGATGTATTATGTAAGAGCTAAATCTGTCTTTATTTTGGCTTCAATTGTATGACACGCCTATAATCAACTCTCAAGATCGGGCATCGAATGGCTGAGATTTAAATGGATTAAAACACCCAAGAGATTTAAAACTGTAATCATAAAATGGATAATCAAGACTAAGCCTTGATCGTCAAGTGCTACAATAATAAACAATCTAACTTCTCTCAGAATAAAGTAATTTGAATGAAATTTCAATATTTATATTTCATTTTCTATTTTTTAACTATTAAAGCAAGAATGGTCAGCTGTTTAAGGAGACAACCTGTCAGAATAAATGCAATTGCTTGTAGTTCAAAAAGGAAATCTCCCAATCGATCAGCTCTACATCAAACTTAATTATTATGGTCATTAGAGCTTGCTTGTATTTTAGTTTTTATTGGTTTCAAACTGACTCTTTTATCTGTGTTATTCTGAATGCTCATAATTATGTGAACTAAAATACATATATTCACAATCGTATTTTATGTAACACAATTAATAAATATAAAAGTATATTAAATAAATAAAATAAATAAAATAAATAAAATAAATAAATAAATAAATAAATAAATAAATAAATAAATAAATAAATAAATAAAAAGTAAATAAATAACAGACCTTCAATTGCCTTTAAGTTTAAGAGATATTTTACTGTCCAATAAATTATTTTACTGAAGCCTACTGTGTGTATAATAAATGCCTTAAAATAATAAATAACCAAGTAGGCTATTTCTCCGATCAGGCTGATATCGTGTAGTCGAATAATAAAATGTGTTTTACAAAAAGGAATACGATAGAAGTGGCAGCTTGCAAGCGAGAACCCATAATGTCACGTGACATGGTTTATCAGACAAGCTTGAGTGACAACCCCGTATGACATGCTTTGTTTAGGGCGGTATCAAATCTACAGCTTACTGTGTCCTATTCAACTCATTGTTCAGCAATCATTTTAACGCAAACGATACTCAAACAAGATATGTCAGTGTATGCTTTGGTAAAAATTAAAGCCATTTAACAATCATGGTGACCTGGCCTCAATGTATTATTAATGACACATAGATAATTACCTACAATGTAGACTATTTACATGCCAAAATAGAATATCAATGGACAGTCTGCACATGCGCGTCGGCATTTCCCTGTATCATGAATGAACTAATATATTTTAGAAAATGTCGAATAACTGTCTTCATGTCTGCATTCCAAGGTGTGTCATTCTGACACTTTATATACTGTTTTAAATTTAGCTATACAACCAGGTATCAATAAAGTAAGAATACTGTACAAAAAGTATATATTTACCCGCACTCGTCACAGTTGGTGGCATGGGCCTCCATCAAATGCCATGCGAGGCTCGAATCTTTGAGCCCAAGTTTTCCGCCAAGACGTTTCCATCTGTCATAGGAACTTGCTAGATATACACGACTTGCATCTCGTTTCTTGTAAGCTTCTTGTTGTCGCTGTCGTTTGTCTGTGTCACACTTAGGAGGCCTGCCAAGTTGTCGGTGGCGAGATTTCATGTCAGCAGTGGTGGTGGCAGCCATTTTGGCATTATTGCTTAGGACTGACCTGACTTGACCGCGCATGCGTACAACTTACTTGTCACTCTACTGCAAACTCATCAGTGTCACGAATGACACCTGCCAAATCTCTTTAAACATTCAAAAATATAAGTTAAAAAATATAAGTTTGCAGATATAGATGTATGGCGACGGCTTATTATTATTTATGAAAAAAAAAAGACATAACAAATTTGTAAATGACAGACCGACCTGAATTTTAAAATAAAATATGATTTGTAGCCTACATGTCTAGCCAATTGTATCGAAATGTTTGTTGTTACTTCTGTTAAATATAATTCAATACACAAAAATAAAATTTGTCACGTGCAACCTATTAAAAGTAAAGTACCTTTGTTAACATTATTTGATTGAGTTTCTTGCATCTTTATACATCATGTAGGCTATGTCGTCCGACTTGATGCATAATTTGAAAGGTTATTCATGAATCCGAGCATGCGGGATTTCCAAAAGGAGAAGAAGGCGCCAATTTACATAAAAGTGATATATTAATGTTTCTGAGCGTCATTTGAGGCCTTTTATCTCTGAAAGGAATATCAGTCCAAAAGCGGTTCAATGGACGAACGAACTCGTTCAGTTGTAAATTTCTTCCTTACGAGCGGGAAACAATGTCTAATGATTGATAACCTGTATGCCTATATGGAACATATGTTAAAATCTGTTTTCTCTGCAATTAGTTTCATGTTAGAGCGTTGATTATAGCTTACCTTTAATCTGTGTTAAGGCCAGGTGGGCCCATGAATGAACGTCATTTAAAACAATGCCATTAATTAACTAATGTCTGTAATTCTGGTATACTAATTATCATATTAAAGAGAATTCTGGACTAAGCAACATTTTTAAATATATAATCCAGATATCATGGGATTGTGTTAATTTATGTCAGAGAGATCCGCTGTACCTACCTTGACAACTAGTTATCATTTAGTTTCGTACTGGTTCTTTTTTATATCCTGCCGACCTCATTAGTCCGGATGGAGCAGAAAATGTTGGACATTAAACTCCCTTTATTCATTACATATTTTATCGTTACAACGAATTTTAATTTTTAATATGTATTAGTTTGGTGCTTTTTTTATAAAAAAAAAAAGAAAAAAAGAACCGAATACGTTTCGGATTCTTGAGTAACAGTAACCTACATATCATTTTAAAGAAAGGAAAGGCATGGGATTTAACGTCCCAGAAAAACATATACTTATGGCACCTTTAGACCTGGGCGACTTGGTACATGTTCAATGACAGGCATACATTGTTCAGGAATGACGCAATTTACGTGCACGGGACACCTGCTTAAACCCAACCAGAAGGACTGGACACTTTCCTTGTCGGATATCTGACACTTAATGAGATTCCGGTTTGAAAACCTCAGAATGTTCGTCCCCATCAGGCTCGTCTCACGCCCCCCCCCCCCCACCGGGAAAAAATTGTCGACCAAAGATATACATTGTCCGTCAAATTTGCAGCACCCCTGAGAACATCCCCCCACCCCTCGGTCTCCATTGACAATAATACGAATTCTCCACACTTTGTGTGTCTCAATAACTTATGCTCAACAGCTATATATAGGCTACGTTTTGCAACAATGAGGTTTCTTTAATTCGTGGTCGTAAAAACATTTTTTTTCATTTTTTTTATTTTTCAGAAAATTATCGACATTTATAAAATCATTTTATAAATAACTAATGTATGTTTTACAAAAAAAAAAAAATTATCACAGTTAAATTTCTATACACTTCCGTACAATATATTGCCGTACATATAAAAACTGTGCATCCGATACATATATCTATTAAAACGTCTGCCAATTATATTTGTATTAAAAATGATAATAATTCATCATAGATTATAAATATGCCATGGTGTAGTATGATAACTGGTCGCATGAAAAGATAGTCTATCGTACATTGCACTGAACAGATAGTAGAGACACGCAGAAAGAGAAATATAATTGGGGTTTAACGTCCACACGACACAAACTAGGTAATTTCGGGACTTACATATTGCTCAATTTTATTTCAGTAATTCGCCTGCGCGTAGAAGTCTTTAGAAGTGGGTGAGGGGGCGGAGGACCAGGAGAAAACCCACGAGGTTAGAAAGATGACCCTACTCCTTGTTACGTACAAACGGGGACACGAAACCACGCCACTTGACTCGATGACAACCCTCCTAATTTAAAACGCACACGCGTTAACCCATTCGGACACCCAACACCCCCATTTATCAAAGGTGGCGCTTGCGGGGCTGATAAAGGAAATGTGTACCTAGTGATTCGGGTAGTACGAACATCCGAATTCCACGTACACATTGGCGTGCACGGTGAAGAACCTATCGTAGTTGGTATTCGAAGTAGATTTGCGGAAGCGCCGCTGTCTCCCCCCCCCCCTCACATTGCACACGTAACCATAGAAATGAAATGACCGAAGTATTAAATGCTATCGAGACATTAAACCCCATTCTATGGCATTCTAATAAAAAGAACGTCCCGTGAATTTATTTTAAGGGAAAGTAGTTTTACAAAAATAATAAACAAACTTTCACCTTGGTACATTCAAATAATGATTAAACCGTAAACACATATATTCTGATTTGATTTTCATAAGCGTTTTTTTTTTCCTTCTTTTTTTTTGCTGCCATGCATCAGAAGTAAAGGAATGGACAAAACTAGAAGATGATATTAAAAATTCAACTTCAACACATTACTTCTGTATCGGTGATCGTAAATTTGAAATCAATTGAACTTTCACTGGCCTTTTCTGAATCAATATTAGAGAGAGAGAGAGAGAGAGAGAGAGAGAGATGTCCACTTGACACAAACTAGGTCATTTCGGGACTAACATATGGTTTACTTTTATTTCAGTAATTCGCTGGCACTAAGATAAAACCCAAATTTTAGTAATTTGATTGGATAATATTAGATTATCTACTAAAATTTGGATTTTATCTTTAGTTAAGATTTCGAGAAACAGGGCCCTGGTTAGATTAGACGCCATCTTGGCTTGGCTATTCGTGGATTATAGAGAATCTTTGATTGTGACATGAAATCATGAACTTTTGGACTAGTATCATTTTTTGTAATGCAGTTTGCGTATGATCTGAAAATTGTGTCCTTTATTCCAGAATATTGGATAGAATGAGACCATTAACGTGTCTTTAAATATAAATCAAAGAAATTACATAAACATATTGCATGAAATAATCAACGGTTATTGAATACCAACGAAGTGGGTTATCGGAGGTGCTTTTACCATAAGATCGTTATATTGTTTTACAAAATAAATCATCCGGCGGATGTAGTCGGACTCGTAATACGGTAATCCATGGTGTTTCAAAAAATGTGATACCAGTGGTTTGATCTTTAAGCACATGTTATCAGAAAGTCGTGGGAAAAGATGGTGTTCGACGTGACAACTTATTATTCCATGGCCGAAACAATAATCCAGAACATAATTTCTAGATAGATTTAGAACACCGGTTGACATCTGATAAATCTTTTTTGGTCTACTCTTAGGTGAATACATTGCCAGGCCAATATGTTGAAATATATTTACATGGATATAAGGGATAGACAGTGTTGCCCGACTTACGAACGTCATGACAATGGCACCCCAAAGTGAAAATTTCGATATGTTCATCAACAGTAAAAAGTTAATTGCTAGTCCAGCAGATGCAACCAAAAGAAACCGCAGCAAATGTTTCCATCTTCCAAACAATCCTGCAATTGCTACCAAAGGCGTAATTACTGGCACAATCAATGGTGTTACGAACATATACATATATGCTGGAACGAAGGGGGCTTTCCATGTACTGGAGTCCCCGTAACCAATAATATTGGTGTGTGGGTGGTGACTTTTAATGTGGATCTCATTTGCTAATTCTTCAGAAAAGGATCCAATAAATTCCACGAAAAAAATCGCCCAAAATTTGTTCCACCTCACAGAATTCACAACTGCACCATGTGCAGCCGAGTGGCCTCCCTTGGTTGAAAATACTGAATGACAGTAACCATACAATATCACACCAGTTACAAATTTAAAATACGAATCGGAACTCATTAACGAAAGGCCCATAAATGCACCCAATACACCAAATGCAATTATTAACCAGTCTACTCCATATAATTCATACCAAGTGTGTTTAGATATCAAGTCATTAACTTGGTCTGTTAGAAGATCAAATCTTGGCAATTTGTCCAGTTTCACATAATCACTTATTTCTCCTCCACGTTTAACCTTGTAAGTCAAGACACTGTCTGTTTCTGTCACTCTATTCTCCGCCATATTCGTCCTTATAATGTCCCAGACAAGTGTTAATGAAAACAGCAACCCATAAGAATTACAGACAAACCCATTTAGCTGATCAATATATATTTGATTATTCTGTTCATGTTTTATTTTTGTACTGAGTTAGCGTGGTGGTTCATTATCAGTTCAAAGTTCAGGGAATATTTATGCAGGGAGAAATCATTGCATTAAACTCATATTAAATGACCTAATAATGTACGTATATGCGCTGGGCAATTCAATACGTCTTAAATTTGATGAACGAAATGAATTATGGTGCATACATGTACCACACAGCAAACAATAGTAATTAAATGTCGAGCCGGCAATTAAGACTGTTTTTTAAGCGAGTCCGACAGCTGTAGGCAGACCCAGTTAGAATAATTAATTTTCAGAACCCATTTCACTCATAGATTAAATAGCTAAGCTTATCACCAGTGACCTTTAATTGGTATATTAGGTGTAAACAAATAATAGATAAATTAGAAATATCCCAATAAGCTGCCAGATAACATACACAGCATGCTAAGAAAAGGGATGTGGCACTCATTTCTACATAAACCAAAAAACACCAAACGCGATCGACTAAATTCTATAAAACTTAAAATTTTGTTTATATTTTGTACATTTGCATATAGGCCTACATAATCCACTTTTTATGTATTTTTCATCCCTAATAGGACCTATTATTGTCATCTATGTATAATTTACATGCTGTCCGAAAAATTAAGGTGTATTTTGTAATATACATTGAAATGGGGGTTGAGTGCTAATCTTTCTCCCAACAGCTTTTTTCATTTATTTCCATGCCAAGTATGCACGGAACCGGTCAATTTTTTAATCCTATCCGAACGACTATATATAGGCATCCCGCGGATCATCCGTATTTGCATGCAGCCCGGATCGACCGGTCATGCAGGGACTTCCTGGTTTGTGAGCCAGCGTCTTAAAGTTATAAAATAAAGGGCCTAGTAAATTAATCTAAATTATTCTATATTTTTATTTGCGAGTTTGTTTGTGGGCCGGGCAGACGATCCTTCCTTTCGTTGTGCACCCGATAACCCTTTCAAAAATACGCCACAGTTGCGCTTAGAAATAATATTTAGCCTAGTCTATTCATTAATGTCCTGAAGTTGGTTCTTTAACGTCTGCTTCCACTGAAGTGATATCGCAGATCATTAATGCCCTATCACTATCTGATGGAATCGACAGTTCACTGAGATAGAGTTTGTAAAATCGTATGCAATTGGGCAATCATTTATCTCCTTGTCACCTTAACTACACACTAGTGGAAGGCCGAGATTGCATAATGACTGACGGCAAATTCATTGAAGGTGAAGGTCACGAAAACAAATATGGAGTCCTGTTTAGCAGTTGAACGGGAACTAGACAGAGTTTTGGCTAAATTTAATGGACTAAGAGACCACAGTAACGAAGCTGTCGAAGAATTAATTCATTCTCTTCAAAGTATTTGTAATGAACTACAATCAGGTAATTCGCCATCGTGATTTTACCCTAAAAGGGAGTCCAGATTCTTATCGTAATTTCTTTGTTTACATTTACATATTTTTTTCACACTTCTTCTACGACATAGATTTCTTAAATTTTACATTACTTACAGGATTTACGTATTAATATTCCGAAAACTCTTGTGGAGTGATATAATTTACTGATCAAGGCTCCTAATTACAGGTCTGTGGTCAGAGGAATACTGTACGAGTGAGGATCGATGTTTGATACCCAGTCCCCACCACATGTGACATGATAGTCAATCACAATGTGTGATTTACATGTAGCAATATTTAACCCTGTACAGTCATTAATCTGCCTTCTGAAATGAACTTTATTCTGATTTTTTGAACAATATATACAGTAATGTTCCACAGCTCTAATCCATACTAAAATGTACGGTACTCAAATTGATTATTTAACAGTTGATTCAATAATTTTAAAGGTAGACAATAGCACCGATAATCTCCCGGCTTGGATTCAATCAGATTATAGATAGGCCCATCAAAAGATTTTATCCAACACTTACAGGTGGCGCTAGTTTGTTATATCACCTGGAGAGGATTTCAAATATTTTGTGAAATTTTAATTAATCATGGAATTGAATTATTTTGGAATGGAATTCCTTATAGAGATTCAAATATAACTACCATAACAATATTATTGTTTGCAAGGGTTCCAAAATCCCTCAAATGAATATTAGTGGCTTTAAATAAGTATAAAAGCTCATATTGGTTTGACAGCTGTCACAATCATGACTTCAGGAAACCTTTAGATGGTTCAACAATATTTATTAAAGATGCATGTAAGATTTAGATAAACAGCTAGTCATTCTTGCTATTCAAATTACTTTATCCTGAACAAAGTTATGAGTGTTTGAAGTTTTAACAGAATAACCTCTATTGTGAAGTAACATTTCTATAATAATAAACAAAAGTTTTGGTTATTGATTTTAACTTTAAATTATTGAATAATTGTCCATTCAGTGATCTAGAGAGTTGATTATGGGCTTGTCATGTGAATAACTGCCTAATTTAATACATGTAGTTTATATAACATTTGAAGCCAGAAAAAAAAACTTGCAATAGGCAGATTTAGCTCTTACGTAATGCATTTTTAACATGAATATCAGTATACATGTACATTTTAACATTAAATTAATGAATGGTGCATGTGTCCTAATCCATTCAATATGACAACCATCTGGTGGTAGAGAGTGTTGATAATCGGCTATTTTGTGAATAACTGCCTAATATATAATTTATGTATGTAACATTTGAAGCCAGAAAACAGACCTGCAATTGGCAGATTTAGCTCTTACATAATGCATCTTTAACATGAATATATGATTTGTCAAGACCAAGAACAAGATTGCATACACACAGTTTGCAAATTGCATAGATATGAGTCACTGCAGGGTAATGTTTATTTCTGTGTTTTTTTTTTTCGTGAATTGGTTTTGCAATGTGGCAAATGTATAAAATTCATTAAAACAGTTTATTGATTTTTTTAATAGGACAAGACTTAACATCTACACAGTCAGCTATTCTTGTCCAAACGGTAAAACGAGTTCGGGATGCTGTACAGAGAGTCAGTACAGAACACAAGGAACTGCATGGATCAGTTTCCAAAGTTGGGAAATCTGTGGATAGGGTAGGTCGAGACAGAATTTTAATTATTTTAATCAGTGTAGAATGTCAAAAGGGTTTCATGAGTTGAAAAAGGTTAGAAACCGCTGCAAAAATGATTGGAAATCACTGCTTAAGAGTTCAAAGCACAGGACTTTGTACTGGTCATTCACCTTTTTCTATACCAGAATGCAAACTTGTTAAAAATGTAAAAAATATGCTGGGATCATCTGTTGATGAAATATTTTTATAATGACTAATAAAAGAAATACAATTTGCCATTAAGGTGTCTCAAAATGGAATATACAGGGTTTATTGGCCCCAATGATTAAGCCACCAAGAGTTTTAGCCCCAACACTTAAAGAATTAGCTGCTATTAGCACAAGAAACATGTATCACTTGTTTAACCTTTAATCTTTGAGAGACATTTAGTAAAAGGATAGAGCAATAAACTATAACACATACTTATGGAAAAACAGCTATTTAATGCTTGATAACGTAGAAAGAATACTCTTTGAAACGTCGCCCAAATAAATTAGTAGCTGTTTTTCCATAAGTATGTGTTATAGTTTATTGTTTAACCTTTGTGGTCATAAACCTTGGTGGCACAAATGCCCATCCACCCTAAAAATGACCTTAGTATTTTGTTTTATTATATATACAGTTTAATTAAAACCATTTGTTTCATTATTTTCCAGAATTTCATCTCCGACTTCACAGCTGTTACACCAGACACATTTGAAAATGCAAAGAACAATAATTTATTAAATGAAGTTATTTGTGAACATTTTTTAAGACAGGGAATGCTGGATATTGCAGAGTCACTGACACAGGTAAGAGTGAGGTGAATTTATTTCAGTTTTCGGAAATACAGGGCAACATGTCAAGGCATGAAAGTTAATAGAACTACTTATCTCAAAATATAACTTTCAGGAAAACAACAGATGGGATTTTATGGTAATTTGTACTGTGAAACCAATAAAGTTCACCTATGAACCATTGAGTTTTACTGATGAAAACTTGGTTTAGTATGTATTTGAATTACGGTGGTTAGAAGTTATATATGTACAGTAGTCATTAAACATACATTATGCAAGAGCTAAGTCTCTCTGTTGCATGTCTTTCCGTAAGCCTGAAATGTTATCTAAAATATTAATTAGACATTGATTAACTCATCCAGACCATAATCAACTCTCGATCTCAATGATAGCCTGCGATATTTACTGGATTAGGATCCGATTTGCTGCTCAACTTTCATTCATGATTTAATCATGAAATGGATAATCAAGACTGTATTTTTTATCGTACCGACTTTAGTAATGATGATCGAGTCTAGGCCGGAAATTCAATCGCTAAAATCTTGGATCAATTTGACTGAAATTTTCAGCAAACTCCCTTTATATTATCAGGTTTTTAACTATTATAGTAAGTACAGTCAGCTCTTTGCCAGCTCTTTATCTAATCTCCCATAATGTATCTTTAATTAGCAGGTGAGTAACTAGCCATTCCATGGTAGTATAAAGTCATATTCAGTGAGAAGTTGTCAATATATTGTATCCAAACCTCTACTAATTGTGTTTTGGCATATAAATGCAGGTAATTGATTTTGGAAAAGCTGTCCGGCAGCTTTGATTACAGTGTATATAGAAATCCATTATAATTTCAGGATGCTAGACTAGAAGTGGACAGTTCAAGAAAGGAACCTTTTCTGGAATTACATAGAATACTAGAAGCGTTAAAACAACGAGATTTAGACCCAGCTTTAGAGTATGTATATATCTATACTCTTGTATAAAATTATATATTGATAAACTTACATATGCACGAAAGATAAAATATATATTGGAAGAATGAGTCAACTGTGGTATTTATCACAATTTTATTAAAAGAGAGAGAAATGGGGTTTAACATCCTCTAGACACAAACTAGGTCATTTTGGGAATAACATATGGTTCAATTTTATTTTAATAATTCCCTTGCGTGTAGGGGTCTCTAGCAGTAGGAGGAAACCGGAGTACCTGGAAAAAAACCCACGAAGTTGGACAGGCGACCCTACTCCTTATCACGTACAACTGGAGAATCGAAACCATGCCAGTTGACTCAATGACAGACCTTATGATACAACTCGCCGCACACACTAACCATTCAGCCATCCAAGCAATGAATGAAGTAATTATTATTTGGTATTTGTACAATAATTTGATTTTTCAGATGGGCTTGTATCAATCGTGATATACTAATAGCACAGAGGAGTTCTCTTGAGTTTAAATTACACAGATTAAGGTTTATTGAACTTATTAAAGAAGGTACAAGACGTCAGAAAGAAGCTCTGTCATACTCCAGAAATTTTGCTATGTTTGGATCTCAACATGCCAGGGGTAGGTACTCCTAATCAGTAGAAATATATAGCCAGGATTATGTCACCTTTATGGTGACTAAAGACTGATTTTAATTGTGTTATTTATGACAGGTGAGAACCAGGAAAATTTTGACTATCACACATTTTCTGCTTTTTGACTGGTTGCAGACTGTTTTTTACAGGCTTTGGTGACATGTTCATCTATGTAAGATTTCAGAACACGCCGAGCTAGCCAATAGGAACCCATTTACAAGTCATGTGATACTACAACCAAATTGTGTCCCTGGCGATTTGAGTGCAATTTCGATCCCAGCATTACAAGTTTGATCAATATTAATCTGTCTCTGATCATAGGGGACGTTACCTAGCAGTTTTACTGGTTTAGATAGTTTGTCATGTCGTTATTCAGTGTACTTTAAGGGGAAGCTACCCGAAAAAAAATTTCTTTAAATTTTAAAGCTATTGAATTGAAAATGGTACAAGTAGTTAGGAAATGTAATAAATAAGGGAAATTTAACATTAACAGAAATTTTTGCCTGGGTAACAGATTTTTTGGGGGAAAAAGTATGAAAACCGTATTAATGCCAGAGATATGGTGTACATACATTTTTCATACTTTTTCCAAAAAAAATGTGTTACCCTGGCAACAACTTTTTAATTTTTTTTTAATATTAGTATTCCCTTATTTATTACATTTCCTAACTACTTGTACCATTTTCAATTCAAAAGCTTTAAAATTTATAAGAGCATTTTTATACGCCCACATAGAAATGTGGACGTATATTGCCGTCGCCCCCGTCCGTCGTCCACAATTTCTTGTGAATGCTCTAACGCCAAAAGTTATCATCCAATTGTTTTAAAATTGAGAGATGTTGTTTACGTTAGTGAGGTGAGGAAGCCTATTTAATTTCAATAATTTCCGTTTATAACATCTAGAGTTATGGCCCTTGTTTCACTTTGTTGAACCTTGTGAATGCTCTAATGCCAAAAGTTAACATCCGATCGTTGTGAAATTTATATGCAATATTTAAATTGGGGAAATAAAGAAGCCTATTGAATTTCAGCAATTTCCATTTATTACTTTTAGACTTATGGCCCTTGTTTCACTTTGTTTAACCTTGTGAACGCTCTAACCCCACAAATTATCATCCTATCTTTCTGAAATTTATATGCATTATTTAAATTTGTAAAACGAAGAAGCATATTGAATTTCAGCAATTTCTGTGTATTACGTCTATAGTTATGGCCCTTGTTTCACTTTATTGAACCTTTTGAACGCTCTAACACCAAACGTTATCATCCGATCTTTCTGAAATTTATATGCATTATTTAAATAAGTGAAACAAAGAAGCTTATTGAATTTCAGCAATTTCTGTTTATGACGTCTAGAGTTATGGCCCTTGTTTCACTTTATTGAACTTTTTGAATGCTCTAACATCAAAAGTTATCTGCCGATCTGTATGAAATTTACATGCGTCATTTAAATTAGTAAAGAGAAGAATCCGATTGAATTTCAGCAATTTCCGTTTATTACTTCTAGAGTTATTGCCCTTGTTTAACTTTGTTCAACCTTGTTAATGCTCGATTGATGAAAGTTATCATCCGATATGTATGAAATTTATATGCATCATTTAAATTTGTAAAACGAAAAAGCCTGTCAAATTTCAACAATTTCTGTAGATTACTTCCAGAGTTGAGACCCTTGTTTCAATTTGTAGAAGCGTTTGAACCCTCAAACGGCAAAAATTATAATCTGATCTGTATGGAACTGTCTTGTAAAGGCCCCCCAATTACCTACAAAGGAATAAATATGTGACAACCCTTGTTGACCGCTCGGACAATTTAGCCGCTGTGGGCGTATGTTTCGTTGCCTGGCAACCTATCTTTTGGGTAGCCGCACCCCTTAAAAAGTTTCTTTTACTTCGAAAGATATACAATCCAGTTCATAGCCTGATGAATATAAAAATATTGACTACCAGAGTTCCATGAAAACAAAAGTAATCTTTTTTACATTGAGTTTTGTAGCACATTTTCAAAATCCTCCAAAACTACCACGATTACTTTCTGATACACAAAACTGGGTCAGCAACAATCTTTTCTTGTAAAAATAATTCATATATTACTAATATTTCTTTTTTTTTGTTTTTGTAGAACTCCAAGTATTAATGGGCAGCTTATTATACTTGCCACAAGGTATTGAAAACTCTCCGTATATTTCTCTACTTGAACCAATGTATTGGGAAGAAATTTGTGATGTGTTTACCAGAGATGCTTGTGCCTTGATGGGTTTATCAGTAGAAAGTCCTCTCAGTGTTGGGTGAGTCTAGTCTTTTTATCTTGCGCTGACCATCACACTTTGTCCAAACACATAATCCATGACTGTCCCTAAGGCGAGGGATATTGAAATGGGGTCCTCCTTCTATCCCTGGGTTTTGTTTCCAGAGCAACTGCTTATATCTTTTCAAATGTCTTTCACTGGAAAACTTCATTGGAAACAAATGTGACTTTGTTTTTTTTTTTATCTATGTTTATTATTTCAAAGCATATCTCATCTTGAAATAGGATATATCTGTGTTACATCCTTTCATTATGCTCCACACACAGTTTGGTTATTGTACAAAAACCAAGGGTAACTCTCACTTTTTTTCTCAAACTATCATATATTTCTAGAGAGGTCTCTCCTTTATACATATATTACTTATGAAATGTTGTAATATTTTGAGACAGGTTTCTGCTAAGTATTACTTATGAAATGTTATATTTCTGGGCAGGTCTCTGCTATCTATTATTTATGAAATGTTATGATATTTCTACAAAAGTCTCTCCTATGTATTACTTATGAAATGTTATTTCTAGAGATGTCTCTGCTATGTACATATTACATATACTACTAATGAAATGTTATAATATGTATTTAGAGGTGTCTCCCCTATGTATATATTACTATGTAATGTTATATGTATTTATGCATAGGTCTACCAATATATTACTTACAAAATGTTATATTTCTAGAATGGTCTTTCGTATGTATTTCTAGAGAAATCTTTCCTATGTATTTGAGAGAGATATTTCCTATGTATTTCTAGGGAAGTCTTTTCTGTGTATTTCAAGAGAAGTCTTTAATATGTATTTCTAGAGAGGTCTTTCCTATGTATTGCTAGAGAGGTATTACCTGTGTATTTCTAGATAGGTCTTTCCTATGCATATCTAGATAGGTCTTTCCTATGTATTGCTAGAGAGGTATTTCCTGTGTATTTCTAAATAGGTCATTCCTATGCATTTCTAGAGAAGTATTTTCTATGTATTGCTAGAGAGGTATTTCTTGTGTATTTCTAGATAGGTCTTTCCAATGTATTTCTATAGAAGTCTTTTCTGTGTATTTCAGTATTCGTGCTGGTTGTAAAGCATTACCTCCCTTACTCAGCATTAAACAAGTCATGCAGCAGAGACAAGTAGCCTCAGTTTGGAGCAGCAAAGATGAGTTGCCTGTAAGTACATATATTATTTGCTAGAATGCTAAATATCATCGCACTCTCCTCTTTATTGTATAGCTTACCATTTGATATCATCTGTCTAGACCAGAAGAACTTCAGAATCGATGTGTAGTGTTAGTATATGGAATTCAAAATGTGTTTTTTTCAAAATGGGGTATAGCATCAAACTGTTCTGTACCAACTTGGCTAATGCAGACAGAACAGGCATATACAGGGATATTTTGCCCTAGCAGCAGCTCTTATCAAGAGATTGTTACCATATTGCCAGTGATATACACAGGACCTCAGTCTTTCAGACCTTCTGGGCAGCTTCACTACAACCTACTCTTATATCGAATCCTGGCTGTCAAGATCCTTCCTACATACAGGGGGGTTGGATGGCCGAATTATTGGCACGTGGGCGCTGTATCATGAGGTCTGTCATTGAGTCAACTGGCGTGATTTTGATTCCTTGGTTGGACGTGACAAGGAGTAAAGTCGCCTGTCCAACCTTGTGGGTTTTCTCTGGGTCCTCCGGTTTCTTCCCACTGCTAAAGACCCCTACGTGCAAGCGAATTATTGAAATAAAATTAAACCATATGTTAGTCACGAAATGACCTAGTTTGTGTAAAGTGGATGTTAAACCCCTTTTCTCTCTCTCTCTCCCTTCTAGTATGTATACACATGACCTTGATTATTTGTCCCATCCGAACGACTAGACACTGTACCTTGCCAGGCCCTCGATCCTACATCACTAACAGTCTGTAGAACTTTCTCAATCTGAATAGAATACAGATCTATATTTCGTTCCGTTTTTTTATACTTTCGATGGCCTACACTACATGAAGATCTGACCAGTTGTAGTGGAAGGTTGTGTCAGAAGTCGTACAAACGGCTTTTGACCCTATGACGTTAGACATGGATTAATCAATTAGCGTTGACGTTTCTAGTGGTATACCCACAGTTCCGTGTATCACACGCCATAAATCGTCATAACAGACCGTTTCATTGGCTAATAATCCCTCACTTCAACCAGAATGCAGGTTATATAACAACTCTTCCAGATCCTAGTGTAGTACAGACAAGTAAAACGAAATTTTGAACTATGAAAAATGGAACGTAATAGGATCTAAGTTTTAATCTGATTGGAACTTTCTCGAACCTCAGAGTTCCTGGTTAGTGATCCAGGTGTTACTCACTGAGCCATTGTACATTTAATTAATATATTTCAGGTTGAAATTGAACTGGGTAAAGAATATCATTATCACTCTATATTTGCCTGTCCTATCTTACGACAACAAAGTAACGAGAATAATCCACCCATGAGACTCGTCTGTGGCCATGTTATCTCTAAAGATGCCTTAAATAAACTATCAAGTGGAAATAAGTAAGTAGATTAAAAATGTTATTTTATCTCTCAAAATAGCTTAGAAATAATTATTATAATTGAAACCTGACAAGGGCTGGACTAATCAACCCTTTCTAGGGATATATAAATCATTTATTTATTCCAGAGGGGTTGGGTGGTCGAATGGTTAATGTGTGCATTGATTCAAGTGGCATGGTTTTGATTTCCCGCTTGTACGTGACAAGGAGTAGGGTCGCCTGTCCAACCTTGTGGGTTTTTCTCATGTCCTCTGATTTCCTCCCTCTGCTAAAGACCAGGACCCTTATTCACGAAAACTTAAACTAAGATACAATCAAAATTTTAAGAAATACTGCAATTCGATTGGCTGACCAATATGCAAATTGGATATATGCAAATTGATTTTACTGGTCAGCCAATCGAATTGCAGTATTTCTTAAAATTTTGATTGTATCTTAGTTTAAGTTTTCGTGAATAAGGGCCCCGCTACACACAAGCTTATTGTTGAAATAACATTGAACCATATGTTAGTCCCGAAATGACCTAGTCTCTCTCTCTCTCTCTCTCTCTCTCTCTCTATCTATCTCTCTTTTTATTTATTCCAACAATGTGTCAATTGAGACCCTGATATCTCTCTTTCTTGCCATGTTTTATTTTACCAGGGTAGGAAAATAGTCTTCCGAATAACCTGTTCCCTGTGTTAGTAACAATCCGCGGGAGAGACCAAACATGTTCTTTAATTTAAAGCAAATTAATAAACACTTTGCAAATATTAAACATAACAAATAGAAACCAGTTGAAATACGATAAAAAGAATTGGGCTTTTCGACAGTGACAAAATCATCGTACTTGATTTTATTTTATGTCACTTGCAATGTATTTGAATCAAATTTGAATTCACTTTTTAATAACTTTTGCCCACCTATATAGACATAATAGTTATCCAGGCACTATATACCATGGAATTTGGTCAACCCCAAATTTAAACGCAAAATTTGTATATCTTCAAAAACGTTTTACAGAGCTTCAGATAGACTAGGAGTAGGACAAATGTTTCTAAGAGGATATCCCACAGAATTTACCTGTTTTCTTCCCTAAAGAATAACTGAGACTGTCCCTTTACTCTGTAGCTTGAGAGTTTATCTTTTATTTAAAGGGGGGTGGGTTGGATGGCCGAATGGTTAGCACATGTGTGCTGTATCATAAGGTCTGTCATTGAGTCAACTGGCGTGGTTTCGAATCCACGGTTGTATGTGACAAGGAGTAGGGTCGCCTGTCCAACCTCATGGGTTTCTCCGGATCCTCCGGTTTCCTCACACCACTAAAGACCCCTACACGCAAGCGAATTATAAAAATAAAATTGAACCATGTGTTAGTCCCGATATGACCTAGTTTGTGTCGAGTGGAATTAAACCCCATTTCTCTCTCTCTTTATTTATAGGAACGATGCGCCATTTGCGTTCTCTTGCTAAAATATCAAATTTCTTACCACTAAATTCAAGCTAAGGCCACACAAAATAAATGTCTTGTTTCTCGGGCAACTGACAGCTGAAACTGTAGGGAGGGAGGGCGGTTTCTTTTTTTTTTTTACTCATTGATGGTGCAAAATAAAATTTGGCTATTGCTGAAAATTGTTGGGGCGGGAGGGCGGTCTTTCTTTCTTTTTTTTTTTTAAATGAGAAAGTCATTACTTGTTTACGTTTTTGCTTTCCGTTATATTCAACTTTATTGTACATACTTAAAACATAAACCCAAAATCAAGTCTACTAAAACACTGAGACTGAACACTGACTGAAAGGAAAATAATTTTCCATATTTAATTCACATAATTGAAATTGGTTTAAAATAAAATTCCATACGGTAATAGCCCTTCATAAAGACAACAATATTTTTAAAAACTAAGCCTCTTTCACCAGGTGTATCAAAAATAATAATCATGGTAAACAGTATTTAAAACTAAATCTAGTATCGCCGGTTTATTTATAATTATTTACCGAATTCCAACCAATGCATGTCACACCGTGTCATCGGTATTGGAGATTGCCGGAAATACTGTTTCTTGGGATATTCGGTGTGTTTCTCAGGATATTCGGTGTTCTATCCGGTGTTTATATTGAATGACTATTTAAATCTAACTAACAACTGGTCAGTAAAACCATCAAATCGGTAATCCAATTATTATTTTCCGGATTATCGAAACTACCGTAAATGTGCTAATAATGACCCAGATTCTAAGGTATGCATTATGACGACTATCGTCATCGTATCGTATTCTTAGCTATAATTAATTAACCTGTTCTACGGTTCATTATTTTATCAATAGGATTTTCCAAACAAGGACCGACTGAAGCCGGCAATAATGAGCCGATTACGATCGAATGATTGAAATATTGTCGCCAATGACTTTTAACACGAATCAAATTCTAGTTTATCAGGGGAGGTAATTAATATCACGTGATACAAAATGGAGGTTCTTTCGATATCAATAAAAAAGGCAAATCTGCCAAACTTCGCCATTGTTCGGATAAAAAAGACAGCATGTTCATCTGAATCAGTTTTAATACATTTGAATAGATATACATGTATGGCGGATGTAGGTACATGCGGGATATTTTTTTTACGACTTGCTTGTCGATGTGCGGGCGGGCGTTACATATTTATTTTTTTTCATCAAGACTAATAAATAGACTGCACGCGCAACCAATTTTGCGTGCGGGCGGTGCCCGAGAAACAAGTTATTTTATTTGTGTTGCCTAATATGTACTTAGATTGACTATTTAACATTTAATTAAAAAAACAAAATCAAAATAAGCACTAGATAACCCCCCCAGTTTGGATTCAGTCAGATTCAAAATAGGCCTATCAATTTTGTTCGCCTACAACAAAATGGTAACAGGCTTATATAACAGGCAGCATAGAATGATGAAATTTCAATTCAATGTATCATTGTAAATATTGAATGGAATATCATTTTAGGACCGATATGCCTCTTAGAGATTAATCTTTCATAATATTGTCGTTTGCAAGGGATTCCTATTGCGCTAAAATGACGCAATGAAACTTTAATTTTGTATTTTCATCTTTAATGAACATTTTCAGGGTGAAGTGTCCATACTGTCCAGTTGAACAGATCTCTACAGAGGCAATACAAATCTACTTCTAAAATAATGCACAGGAAGATTTCAAGATATTTGTGAAAACTGACCCAAGATATTAAAAGGTGTGATCTCCTAATAAACACTTGAAAGTATTTAAAAATGTTTATATTTATTCATCACAGAGTTCATAGTGTTTTGAATAATATTTACGCATATTAAAAATCCTTTTGATGAACTAAGAATGAACATCGTGATTTATTTTAAAAGTATTTAAAAATGTTTACATATATTCATTCATCACAGAGTTCATAGTAGTGTTTTGAATAACATATGGCTACACATTTTACAATCTGATAAAAATACAGATCTATATTTCGTTTCGTTTTTTATACTTTTGATGGCCTACACTACAGGAAGATCTGACCAGTTGTAGTGGGAGGTTGCAACAGATGTCATACAAGCGGCTTTTGACTCAGACAGTGATTAATCAACCAGTCTTGACGTTTCTAGCCAAGAACTCACCGTAACAGACCGTTTTATTGGCTGATCCCTCACATTAACCAGAACGCGGCTTATAAAACAACTCTTCCAGGTCCTAGTGGTGTGAAGACAAGTAAAACGAAATTTAGAACTTTTGAAAAACGAAACAAAATAGGATCTGTGTTTTAATCAAAAACTTTTTGATGGAACTAAGAATGAACATTGTGATTCATTTTAGAATTTGTTGAAAATATAATCATAAGTCTTTTCTGCATCTAATGCATACAGGCCTGTTTATAAAGTGGAGTTGTTGGAAACTGTTGTCGTTAATTTATGAACGATAATACTCGATTACTTTTAGAAATAGATTATTTATTTGAACGGGAATGCCTAACATATCTTTGGACACAGCTAGATAGGAAAATTGTGAAATACATAATTTTAAAAATGATACAGACTAACCCAATTTAATTTTTGCTTTTCTGAGTGTTGATAAATAAAAACCCACACAACTCTTATGAAAAATGATTTATTTAGAATTTAAAAAATTTAATATATGCAACTTCAAAATTTTGAGATGAGCAACCAAGGGTTGGGATTTTTAAATCAATAGGACACAAACATTTTTTAGTATTCCCGAGGAACAAATATTAAAATTGATGTGTGTGGTACAAAATTATGTGTGGTACACTTGTCATTTTTTTGTCCTTTTATATACCAGAACCACATTAAAAAAAAAAAAAAAAAATAGCTATGACAATTTCCAACATCGGAAAGTATTGAATGGTCTATATAGAGTACACATATACCCTGCCTTGTTTAATCAATTTAAACAATGATAGCTATGACAATTTCCAACATTTGATAGTATTGAATGGTCTATAGAACACATACCCTGCCTTGTTTAATCATTTTTGTAAATATTGCAGACCATTTTTATTCATGAAATGTACATGTTTGTCATGATCAGGAGCTGGTAGCATAGGACATGATTAACGTTTTGTTCTGGAACCTCTTGTTTATTTAATAAATCCCCCCCCGATCCCCCTCCCACGCCCACCTCTCCCCCCCATATGAAATCATTTTTGTATCTTGATTATTTTATTATGATCAACAATTTTATCATATTTTTTTTTAGAAAAAAAAATAATTAAAAGTGTAATTATTTGAACAAAGTTCAGCATTTAAAAGGAAGCCTTGAAATTGTTCCTTGTTTCTTATGATGTATATAATATGATAGGTACATTTTATTTGTGGGTAAATAAGGTTTTCATGTTGATGTTTTAACAAATTTTGTTAACTAATGGATATTAAATGTCGCAGCTGATGTATATGTTGAACATTATTATTAGTCAATGTGGAATACTATTTTATTAAAGATGCATTATGTAAGATTTAGATAAAGAGCTGGCCGTTCTTGCTATAATAGTTGAAAATTAGATGAATGTATTGAAAATTCATTCTAATTACTTTATTCTGAGTGAAGTTATGACTCTTTGACGATGTTACATCGATTGTTTATTTTTGTAGCAATGGTACATGACAATCTAGACTAAATTCTGATTATCCAGTTTATCGTTAAAGTTTCAAATCTCGCAAATGTTCTAATCCATGTAAATCATGTCCATTTATTTATGTGAATCTATATATATATTTGTGACTGTCGTTTGTCTGTCTGTCTTTCTGTCTGTCTGTCTGTCTGTCTGTCTGTTCGGGGTTGGCGGCTACACTAGGTCTGCACCGAGTCTGAAATTTGGGGTATAAGGGTAGCTCGGACCGGGGAGTAACATAGGCCAGGTGGCGTTAGTCTACCACTTCCGGTTTCGGAGTTATGACCCCCGAGCGTAGCCGGTCTGTTCGGGGTTGGCCGCTACACAAGGTCTGCCCTGACTCTGAAATTGTGGGTATAGGAATAGCTCGGACCGGGGAGTAACATAGGCCAGGTGGCGTTAGTCTACCACTTCCGGTTTCGGAGTTATGACCCCCGAGCGTAGCCGGTCTGTTCGGGGTTGGCCGCTACACAAGGTCTGCCCTGACTCTGAAATTGTGGGTATAGGAATAGCTCGGACCGGGGAGTAACATAGGCCAGGTGGCGTTAGTCTACCACTTCCGGTTTCGGAGTTATGACCCCCAAGCGAAGTCTGTCTGTTCGGGGTTGGCGGCTACACTAGGTCTGCACCGAGTCTGAAATTTGGGGTATAAGGGTAGCTCGGACCGGGGAGTAACATAGGCCAGGTGGCATTAGTCTACCACTTCCGGTTTCAGAGTTATGACCCCCGAGCGAAGTATGTTCGGGGTTGGCAGCTACATCTTCCCCGAGTCTGAAATTTGGGGTATAGGGGTAGCTCGGACCGGGGAGTAACATAGGCCAGGTGGCGTTAGTCTACCACTTCCGGTTTCGGGTTGTGACCCCCGAGCAAAGCCGGGTATCCTGCTAGTAAATGTCTAAATAACAATTTATATAGCATTTGAAGCCAAAATAAAGACCCACAATGGGACAATTTAGCTCTTATACATAATGCATCTTTAAAGTACAAGTACCACAGTGTTTATATAGTAAGTACATATGTTAAAGTACCGGTATAATAGTGTTTATATATAGTACATATGACTTGGATTATTATTATTATTATTTATGATTTGTAAAAGAATGCGATTTGTTTATTCTATGTTTAAATGTATATTTACATATAACATAATGTGTGTGTGTGTGTGTCCAAGCATTATTATCTTGTTCTTCTGTCCAATCCATAATTGTTTTTGTGTCATATATATTGTTTTGTAAATAAATAATTTAAAAGAAAATAACTCTTGCTTCCTTTGTATAATGTATTGTGCTATGTTGTTTATTATTTTCCCCTGTTTTATATAATTTTCTCTAAGAATAGAAAAATAGAAGTAGGCTGTACATTCCCTTGTTTTTATTCAATCTATACTTAATAAAAACATCGTAATGCACAGACTTTTTCTATTTTATTCGCTTTCTATTATAAAGTGACAGTCAGATATCCTCTTTCAGTTTCATAATTATAACAACTTTTGGTCTTCAAAGGAATTATCAGTGAGCAGAAATTCTGTGTGTATCTGTTATGCTTGTTCCTTCATTCAGTCATATCTAGAAGGATAACTTGTGTTTTATTTTGCTTTTGTCTTTTCTGTTTCTTCAAATCATCATTCTGCATCTATCTTAGCAATGATCTCTGTGTTAAAATTATATTTGGAACCTGGTTAACCAGTTCTATCACATATGCGATATTAGCTGACAACAATATTGTCCTTTAATACTATAGGGCAGTGTTCTTAATCGGATGTTTTTTGTCGTCTTTAGCCGATTGATGTTTAATCTAGCCGATTGGTAAAACAATGAACCGGCCACTATATCATAAATCGTTCGTTCGTTCGTTTCTGGAGTTTTACGTCCACTTCCACCTAAGGTGATATCGTATCATAAATCAATCTACTATCGGCTAAATTACATCGGGTTAATTACATGTTAACTAAGAAGTCAATCAACTTGCTTGTCGGCTACAACAAAAGCCATACCTTAGTGAGAATCAGCCATGACGTGGTTCATAATCAGAGTAGCCTAATTAGCACATTTAACGGTAATTTGGATAAAACAAGCTTGCTGATTATTCATAACAGGTTCAGTAAGCTGCTTTTGTAAAAATAGCCCACGTGGCGAAAGAAGACGATCTCGATTCTCGGCATGGTTTGCCGATCGAGTGTCTTCCACGCTCCGTATGAATTCCAGGTACCGGTAGATATTAAAATAATAACTGGATCATACATTGATGGATTCACCGACCCGTTGTTATAGTGTAGTATAGGCCTACACTGATACTGTAGACAGTCTAGTTCCAATGGCATTCTCTATTATTTATTTTTTAAGGATATCTTCAAACATTATTTGCAACCAACTGGCATTACATGCAGGCTATGTATATGTCATAAGGATACACAGGGCTGGATTAAGCGAGCATTAATTAGGAACATGTCACTTGGACTCTTGCATAAACAGTGAAAAGGGCAGAATATTCTAGGCATTGTCACACTCAAACAAATGCAATTTGTATGGTAGATAGAATTTTTGGCACAAACGTATACAAATTAATAATTACTAAATTAGGCGGCACTCCGCAGCTCAGTCAGACCCCCGCCCCCTTAATCTGACCCAGAGGATAGTCTAGGCCTACTGTTAGTCATACTATCTCACTATTACAAACCTATGGACTATTATTGGTAAAAACTGAGCGCTATTGCAGTAAAAAAAAATATTCAATGTTATTTAGTTTTCTGTCACCTGTTGTAAAATTAACCTCAATAAATAGAGTTGTGTCCCTTTACCTATATTACCGGTACTAAGTTAGTTACTAAGTACTCAACCGTTCAAATGTATATGTTCAATAATTTGTCTATATATATAATGTTTGCAAATTGTGTTCGGTTTTATGAGACTGGATATGAATGATGACATAAAGTTGACACCTTGCATAAGCTCAGATGTGCGTTTCGTAATCCATGACCTTTCTGTTGAGCACGTTAACCACTCGTGTTTGTTGATGTTCGGTGTCACGGAGAGACAGGCTAGAGGGTACGAGCTTGAAAAAGAAAACTGTGGCTGAAATATGTATTATATATGTCCGGATATTTGGATATAGTTATGGAGCATAAAGTCTTATTGATTTGCAGGTAGTATTAGATCGGTTCAACTCGTGATCGTCTGCTGAAGGCAACAATGGAGTCGATCGCTCACCGGTGTGCCCTTCACCACCTTGAAATGCGGGTCTCGGATGGAGAGAAAATGGTTACTGAATTTGTTATGAAGTATGGTTTTCGTGTTATCGGAGAAAGGGATACAGACACAAGTCAGCAATGGTCATTACAATCAAGAGAATGTAATTTTATTGTTACAGAGATAAAACCAATTGAGTTCTCCGACAGCAACCGTCGTAAACTAGCCACCGATCCGTATGTTACCGGTGTAATCGCAAATGACGGATGGGTTGAAGATTCCGGATTGGCTGATACGTTCCAAACAAGTATTAGCACTGTCAGTAACGTGGCTTTGGAAGTGAACAATTTAGAAAAATATTTAGAAAAATTAGAGAAATGCGGAGTAATCATGTTAAAACCGATTCAAAAAATATCAAATCAAAATGGAGAAATATTGATTGCCACTGTTAAATCTTGTTTGGATAATATTGTACATTCATTAGTTCAGAGAAATAACTTTAAGGGGCACCTGTTACCTGGTTTCAATGACCTATCACCCTTTAGTATATCATTAAATTCTTCTAGCAAGTCTGATATAGATATAACCCATGTTGATCATGTAACTTTCGTCTGTGAAACTGGACGTTCTCCTTCTGTAGTGTCTTGGTATGAGAAATGTTTTGGTATGATGCCCTTCTCTTTAAACAGGTTCGTACCTATTTTTCTGCCTATAAATAAAATTCATATTCTATTCTTTTGTGGAATCACCATGCCACTAAAATCCATGTAAGATGCAATGATTCTCAAAATTTAAATAAAACATGAAATATTCGCTTAGGCCCAATATACAACCTATAATATTAATACCCCCCCCCCCCCATCCAGATTTAATAGCCATCGACGTTCCACACAATCTGATTAAAACACAGATCCTATTTCGTCTCGTTTTTTATAGTTCAACATTTCGTTTTACTTGTCTTTACTACACTAGGATGTGGAAGAGTTGTTATATAACCCGCTTTCTGGTTGATGTGAGGGATAAGCCAATGAAACAGCTGTTACGGCGAGTTCTTGGCGGGCGTTGCACGGAACTGTGTATCCCTCTAGAAACATCAGCGCTGATTGGTTAATCAAAGTCTGATGTCATAGGGTCTAAGGCTGCTCGTATGACCCCTGACACGACCGCCCACTACAGCCGGTCAGATTTTTATGTACTGGAGGACATCGAAGGTATTAAAAAAAACGAAACAAAATATAAATCTATATTTTAATCCGATTGCTTTCCACAAGAAAATGTACGTAAATATCAATTTTAGAATAACAATATATAATGTCAATGATTGAAAATTTGCTTCTGATCAATAAGTAAGCCATTTCGCATGGTCGATTAACCGCGGTGAACACTATACTAGCACCAACTGGCTCGAAGTTTTAATCTGTTGTGAATTCATATGAAAATTAAATATAAACCTTTCATTGTTCCATGTCCAAAAGGATAATGTTTTAAAAAATGATATATAATTCTAAAAATCGAATGTGTGTTCTATTTCCAGAGATGATCCTGATGGAAGCTTAGTAGTTAAAGGCCCTAATGTTGGTTTAAGGTTATCTGCTTTTGACTACTGGAAGTGTTCAGAGACAGGTTTAACATTTCCTGGCAAAAATAAACTAACCTTTGTGATAGCTGAACCATTTGGTAGCTCAGGTGCCTATATTATACATGTACATGTAATACATATGAAAAAGATGGTGGATTATCTCATTTTGAATGTTTCGAATTAGTATTCATTATACATTATTTAAACGACCGTGACGTATTTTAATTTTAGATTGACCATACATCTGTTATTTATTGTTTTATGTTAAATTCTCTGTCCGTCATTTAAATTTTGCGGAAAATATCAAAATTTTCCTCGTTTTAATCCTAGTTAAAATGTGCTCAAATTGATTATTTAACATTTTATTAGAAAAAATAGAATAAATAAAAATCAACGATAATGCCCAGGCTTGGATGCATTCGGATAAAACAGCGATCCATTAAGATATTTTTAAGTGGGTCGTTAAACCCCATTTCATTAGGAATTGTAGCGAAGGTTACAGTTTGGACATATCCCGTCTGTATCGCCTGTAGGCGACGCCAAATGTTGACAATTTCCAATTCGTGATAAGTTTGTAAATACTAAACGGAACAGAGAACCATTTTAGTTTACAATCGATTCCTCAAGTGATGTTCAGTGACTTTAAACTAGGAGTAGTTAAACCTTTCAAATATAACAAATCGGATCTATTTATGATGCGTCTAACTGGCCTAACTAAATTGGCGCGAATCTTCAAAAACGCACATTTAATTTTATACGCCCATGTTCGTCCATAATATCCTGTGAACACTCGACAGGTCGCAGTTTGTGTCGGACAAACATTTTGGTTTTGTTTAAATATTATCCATAATATTCGAAATTAAAAACACGAATTAGAATTCAATATTGGTCAATTTCAATCAATATTGATGTTATCATCTTATCGTGAAAATATGGGCGAAATTTTCGGATTGTAGAGTAATGTAACACCCTTTTGAATTCTGGATTTTTGGACCTCAAATCGGAAAATTATTGGACTTGCACTCAAACTTAATTTTTAGTGAATCGTTTTTAGAATCGGCTCTAGTTAGTGTTCCCATTTTCTAGGAAGTAGTTAGACACTTTGTTAATTGTTTTTGTTTTTTTTTGTGCGTTTGTTTTTTTTTTACAGATAAATCTTGTAAAGTATATTATTATTATTTTTTTTTATTCTGAAGGTCACAGCCACGTTAAAACCTTTATGAAACAACATAATGGACCCGGTGTACAACATGTGGGTTTACATACAGATAATATAATAGGTACCATAAAGACGTTAAAACATAATAATGTACAGTTTGTAGAACCACCTTATACATATTATGAAGAGGTAGGTAGTTTTAATTTTTGAAAATTAGTTTACTCATAATATATTCTCAATTAGTCCCTATTGATGAACTGGCGAGGATTTTTGCGGAACCATATTCTATTTAAAGATACATTATGGGAGATTAGATAAAGAGCTGGCAGTTCTCACTATAATAATTAAAAACTAGATAATATAGAGGGAATTTGCTGAAAATTTCTGTCATATTCATCCACTCTGAACCGAGATTTTAGCGATTAAATTTTGGTCTAGCGTCGATCATCATTACTAAAGTCTGTACGATAAAAAACATAAGTCTCGGTTAACCACCTTTTGATTTAATTATCAATGAGCGTTAAGCAGCAGATAGGATTCTAATCCAGTAAATATCGCAGCCTAGCGATGACATCGAGAGTTGTTTATGGTCTGGATAAGTTAATTAATGTCTGATTAATAATTCAGATAAGATTTCAGGCCTAAAAAAAGACGTGCAATATTAAGATTTAGCTTTTGCATAATGTATGTTTAATTAAGCTTAGTGGACGACAATGGAAAAAATCTAAGATTTTTTTTTAGAATATTATAAACATTTAAAGAAATATTATTTCGGCTCACAAGATTAATTTATTCTGTTCCTTTATAAAGAAATATTTTTAAAATCTTTTATAGATTTTATACCTGTAAAAATCTTTACCATTTTATCTCAACAAATGGTATTTCGTACTTATTTATAATTTATATTAGACCTATATAATATAATCTTTTTTTTCCCTTAACAGGCTTATTTTCTGAAGAAGGTAAGATTGAATAAAAATCAATAATTATGTTTATTTATGAAATTATTTACTTACTGAACATTGACAGGGAGAGGGGCTTTATATAGGCTAAGTTTGTTCCTCAATTCCATTCAAATATCCCGAATAAAAATATTGTTTAATAAAAAAACCCAATGACAATTCTTCAAATTATTTTTTGGGATTAAAGTAAAATATAAAATGACAATTCTTTAACATTATTCATTTGGGTGAAAGTCAAATAAAAGTTTTTGTTGTAAACAAAATAATATGAAAAGAAATGTTACTTTTTAGGTTATATTTTTTTTTTTTTTAAAGAAAAAGTCCTTCACATTATGGGGGTGTTGGATGGCCGAATGGTTAGCGCGTATCATAAGGTCTGTCATTGAGTCAACTGGTGTGGTTTCGATTCCCCGTTTGTACGTGACAAGGAGTAGGGTCACCTGTCCAACCTCGTGGGTTTTCTCCGGGCCCCCCAGTTTCCTCCAACCGCTAAAGGCCCCCTACGCGCAAGCGAATTATTGAAATAAAATTGAACTATATGTTAGTCCCGAAATGACCTACCTTGTGTTGAGTGGGTGTTAAACCCCAGTCGCTATTGTAATCAGGTATATTATAAATTGTTGGTATTTCAGATAGAAGAATTAGGGGATACTTTAATAGAAGATATAGAAACTATAAAATCTTTAGGTATTTTACTAGATTCAGAAGACCAACCTCCTAATAATCACCTCCCGGAAAAGTAAGTTCTTACTTGTGAATATTTAGTTGTGATCGTAGCACTATCTCGACGAATAATCGTACGTTGTGATATATAATGGATGACAAAAAAAGATAATGAGTCCCGACAACTCATCGTCGATAAATCATCATCGATTACTCTACTTGTATATCTCATCCTAAATGCGAGCTGTTAAAAAAACAAACTGGGCGAACGAAGATGAATCCAGTTAAGATAAAAAAAAAAAATCAGGGTATGCGCGTTCTGTAGCTCTATATATTTTATCTAATTACGCCTATACAATTGCGATGCGGCACAGGTTTACTTATTAGGACAACTTAGGCCTAACGCTTTAAAAAGAAGTTATCAAAATTGCGTCGTTGGAAACGTGTTTAGAATTTTCAATGCAAACTTGAAAAACAGCTTCAAACTTTGAAATATTTGTATGATAAAGATAAAACATTCTTCAAAGGCGTCGTCATGGGCAACGCCGTTGGTAATCCGGGAACTTGAAAGTAGTACCAATGGCGGACTTCGTCATACAGCCGAGGCTAAATGTAGGGTAGGCTACTGGAATCTGCTGAGGTTTGCCGAGTGACAATTATATGGGACAGTAATCAAAGGTTTATTATACATAAGCATGCCGTTTCGATAAGTATCCTCTTATAATTATGTATGTACAATGAGCTTTAGTATTTCGTATTCCAATTCACCATCAATTTTTATTCATGAATTCCGTCAGCTATACATCAAGATTTATAAATTATATATTTCCAGGTACCTTATGCAGATGATTATAAATAATCCATATTTAATAAAGATAAATTATATATTTCCAGGTACCTCATGCAGATGTTTACAAAACCGATATTTAATCAAGACACATTCTTCCTGGAAATAATTCAAAGACGAGGAGCTGTGGGGTTCGGGTCGGGTAATATAACGGCCTTATGTCGAGCTGTAGAAAAATTAAAAAGTACGCAAGTTGCAGGATAAATCACACTGGCTTTGTATTAGTAACAAGACATATCGTTCGTGATTTAAACATATTTGGCCACCGACTGAATGATTGGGAACACCATAGCCATTTCCGAATCACGCGTGAGCTCTAAAGACACCCCACTTTATATAGAAACTATTTTATATAACCTACCTAAATATTTGTCTCAAATCAAATTTTTAAGCGATTGTTTTTATATCGCTATAAATTATGTAAATTTAGTCCCAGAAATTAAGATTTTCCAATTCATATAAAATGTAAGCCAAGCTTGCAAATATTATCTTTAGCATATGAGTGGTTTAAATAAAAATACTGGTGCATTTAATAAAATTGCCTGAATTGTTTGTTGTCTACAGTATATAGAGTAGGAAATAGATGTGCCATTTTTGTGATATTTTTCATTATGGTATATTAATTCTAGAATGACATTTGTTACGTTTATTTGGGTTTGTCCAACATAGATAAATTTTATTTTTAGAATTTAGAAATATGAAATGTAAAAAAAAGTAAATACCATTATTTATAGACGATTATTAAAATAATTTTTTGGAATTGATTTGCTTATGAGTTGTATTTTGTTTTTACCACTTTTAAGGCGATCATAGCGGATTCAAAGATTCCAACATGGAAACGATTCATTAATAGTAAGTGCAGGAGGACCGCACTACACGTAAAACAAAAATCTACAAGATAATCCTGCGGACAAGACAGAAAATAGACATTGCACCAAATAAACAAATATCAAATCAAGTGAATGGATCCGGAGGCCAGCCGTAAGCGTCCGTAAGTGGCATTTAGCGGTTGAGTACATTAAAAACACGGGGGGTTGGATGGCCGAATGGTTAGCACGTGCGCACTGTATCATAAGGTCTGTCATTGAGTCAACTGGCGTGGTTTCGATTCCCCGGTTGTACGTGACAAGGTGTAGGGTCGACTGTTCAACCTAGTGGGTTTTCTCCAGGTCCTCCGGTTTCCTACCATTCCTAAAGACCCCTAGACGCAATCGAATTGTTGAAATAAAATTGAACCATATATATGTCTCGAAATGACCTAGTTTGTGTCGAATGGACGTTAAACACACCCTCCCTCTCTCTCTCTCTCTCTCTCACACATTAAAAACACAACATTTATATGGAATAGAATCATTGGTTTGTTATATATTGCACAACGTTTCTACACGTGTTCTCTAGCCGTTTCCAAAATGAAATGAAGCGGGGTGTGACTCCTACTTTTCTGCACTGACAGGGCAGTGTGCTATGAGAGAAATTTCCCCCGAACAGCGGCTCTACGGCCTACTCTTATTTGGAATTCCAACTGTCAAGGGCTCTTTTACGTGAACGCCAATGTGTACAAGGGACCTCGATTTTTCGTACTACCCGAACGACTATATGGTGTCCCTTGCTAGTAGTGTTTTCAAGTAAACGATAAAACACTTGTCGAAACGCACAACCCTTGTACGCAGGTTGATAGCCACTCACAAATACTCCATTTAAGTCAACAAATTCCATTTGAAGTTTACATAAAAATAATCCTGAAATATTTCCATTCAAGCCAGTCCATTATTCGTACCGTTTTTGTGTGCTCTGATTTGCATAATTAAAATACCAATCTTTAATATAAAATAATACACATTTTTAAATTATAATATAATTATAAACAATATGGGTTGGTTTCCCCCGTTATATTTTTTTTTCTAAACAATATTTATTCACAGACACTGGATTGGAGAACAGGCAAAAGCCTATAGACCCCCTCTCCATATGAGGATTTGATGTCCTAAACAATTGTAAAGTGCATAGACTAAAGCTATCCTCCTTTCCCTGTTCTATGCACACCAAAAGATGTATTATAAAGTTGCGTAATCTGGATTCAGACCGAATTTAATATTTTGGGGGAATTTGTACATCTCATTTCTGGCTGGTGCTCAAGCCGCCCATCCCTTCGCCGACCAACACTCTACACCCACATCCACACATGCGGTTTATTGTACATTGTTAATTTATTTTCACGTCTAGAATTTTAAAAACACTTTCGCTTTAATTGAAACCAGAACCCACCCTGAGCAGCATGCAATTAAGCTGGGCATATCGACTATCCTAAATACATTCCCTTAATTGATTCTTGTGGATAGAGATGTGGGCGTCAAATCATTATGACAGGGCATCCTCTTGTATTCAGTGCCGTTCGTGAAACATCATACTTAACAAACCCCATTAATTGGTCTTGGTGTCTCTTAATAAAACATCTTTATTGGACCTCAGAATGGACGACCATTGACTGGAAACCTGTTGATTGTGGTTAAAATCACTCCGGAACGCCTGTAATGTTAATGCACATATTTGAGTCATTGTGTCCAACAAAAGAATGTATAAGCTTTTTCACAAAGAACGACAAAAACGGGTGTTTAGAGCCAATCGCCAATGTTTACAGATTCGCGTGGCAATTCACCTGCCACAGTATTGACGCATAAACGACTCGCGACTTCTGCAGCCAATGACAACTCAAGCAGACGACAACGAACGTGACTGTTTGAAAAGCTAGCAAGCAAAAGACTTGTAAGCAGAAGACATAATCCACGGTAATAGGAGTAGTTCGGTAAACAAATATAAAGTTAGCGCCCGAGTGATCAGTAATTATGGAATAAAATGGTGGTCATAAAGAGGCGATCGGATTACACTGTCACTTTTCCCGCCATTTTCTTAGAACGCCGTCTGCCTTAAGTGGATAGGAACCTATATGATATGTTTCTTGACAACACCCTGGCATTTCTTGTGTTTAGAACATAAAGGTACCATCATCATATAAAATCGAAAATCAGATTCTTTATGAAATATAATCACCTGTATGTCACAATTGCCAAATGGATCATAAATAAGCCCAAAATGATGTCGCCGACAGTATTATCTATATATTGGGCGTAATGTGGTGGCAGCCATTATCGGATGAAATTCAACCTCTTCATGCCTACTAAGTAGCTTTCATTCAAATATTAACCACATTGTTCACATTTTATCAGTTTGCATATTGCGAGGAATTGGTAGACAGACACCAATTAGGACACGAAATGAAATTTAACTTCCTTCTATTCGAGAGGGGTTCACTAGTCCGTCGCTATAAGAAATACTATAAATATGGGTATCAATAAACCTAACCCTAACCCAACCCTATCCCTAATAATAGATATCGGTGCTACCACAAGCAGTATAATGCAATGCGCTTAGGGTGAAATGTTGCCCGGACTGCAGCTTTTTCAATAGTTCTTTTAAGTGCAAGCCAATAAGGTTTTTCTATACATTTGAACGGTCCTGCTTTATTTACAGGGGGAATTCGCCTGGAAAATTCCGAAAAAATGATCCAGCGCCTTACTTACCGAGCTACTGTGGCGCCTTGTTATGTACAATGCCACAATGGTCGTGTTAGAAACACACCCTCTTCAACTGTGAAGATCGGCTGGTTAATTGTGTCTATAGGCGTACGAATACAAACATGCAATATATATGTAGTCTAAAATAAAGCATGTGACATGCACTTGAGCGTTCGTACCATCAATATCGTTGTTTGTTCATTTAACCACGGTTTTATGAGTCTAACAATCCACTTCAGGATTTCTCATACATCGTTTGCAACAGGTGGCACTGAAATTTATCAATGGGCGACATAGGCTACGTATACATAACGGCCATTTCTGCGAATAATATAGCAATAGTTATTCAGTTCTCTGAGAAAAAAAAGAACATCTTATCAGCGTTTTCGTATTTAAACTTAAACACCGGATTCTAGTTCGGATATCCGAAACTCAAGCTGGTGCAAGCGAGAAGAAGGTGAAGGCTAATGTAACACTCAGCACAAATTACATAGCAATTCTATTGTCTATATATTTACCATTTTAATATAACAAGAGAGAGAGAGATAAATAGAGAGAGAGAGAAATAGAGAGAGAGAGAGAGAAATAGAGAGAGAGAGAGAGAGAGAGAGAGAGGGCAATAATTTCAATAATTCGCTCCATGAGGTTGGACAGGCGACCAACACGTTGTCACGCCACTTGACTCAATGACAGACCTTATGATCCAACGCGAACACGTTAAACCATAGCCCCCCCCCCTCCTCTCCCCGGAAAAACGATTTAGAAACTGACCAGGGGTAACGACAGCACATTGCAAACCCCGCGAATTTAGGAACCGAAATTAAAAGTTTCTTCTTTGCACAAGTTAGGGGTATGGGTTATTGAGTGGTCTAACGCGTGCACTTTAGATCATAAAGTCTGACATTGAGTCCCGATTCAAATGGTGTGATTTTGATCGCAAACTTCTACGTAACAAGGAGTAGGATCGACTGTCCAGCTTCATAGGTTTTCTCTGGATCCACTGCTAAAGGGAAATACTGATATAAAACTGTACCAAAATGTTAGTCCTGAAATGACCTAGTTGGGGTGGTGGGGACTTTGACCCCTCCTCTCTCTCTCTCTCTCTCTCTCTCTCTCTCTCGTTTTCTATATGCCAAAGATCATATACTTAGTTTATTAAAAGGGTAAATAGAGAATAGAATTGCGACTTTGAGGCGACGTAAACTACTCGACCGCGGCAGTAAATATCTTGACCCGTCTTATCCAGACCCTATTCTCTTTCGAATTCTTTAGTCCTAATAACTGAGATATTTGCAATAAAACTTAAGAAGAGTATTATAAGGCAGGTATATACACTTAGACTATATTGTATAAATGGACAGTCTACTACAGTAATGATATATAACTTCTGATATACCTACAAATGTTGTCTCTTTCTATTATAAATACCGTACTTACTCTAGTAATATAAAAATTGGCAATTAATTACTGTACATGTTTATATTTGATTATGAGCCTGGCTGTCAGATAAAAATTATAAATAGTACATGATCACTACTTTATGGTTTCGAGCGCCAAAACATATCCAACAAGACAATGCGGAATTAATTAAAAATGGCTGATTCACAAACGAAGGGACTAAGCAAGCGGAAATGAATGCCGTTCAGTTTGGGCCGTTCGCTTATATCACCGAACATAATTCATTAGAAATTACGATAAACTTTATAAAATGTGCTGCTAGACTCATTTTCTTCTAGTTCAAGGGTTTGTTTTAAAATTCGCGTAGATTGTCTCTATAGATGGAAGAGACATAACATGAAGAAGCATGGCGATTCATTACCTTAAAACCGCTCATTGTTTTTGAGTTGTTTGAAATTCCATACTTTGTCGAGCTATAGATGAGCAATAAACTTATTAGCATGACTAAAATTTACAATCGCAATATTTTAATTTTTTATATAAGTTACCGAACTAAGCAAGAAAATTCCAAGTGACTTTCCATGAATTCTTGGAAAATCGGCAAGAACTAGAACTTTTGTTATGAAACCCTTCTTCATAGCACCCAAGCATAATATCATACATATCCCGAGTATAATTCATCAGGAACATGACTAATTGGCAAATAGACCCGAATTTTTATTTCCCTAAATATTCGATATTTAGAGACATTAACAGACATTAT